ATCACGAGTGGATCTGAGAGTTGAATCTAGCAGTCCACTACGAGATGTGGGTACCTCAAGATGCTTCTTAACTATCAAATACCCACCCCATACTTTGGTTGAATTACTTTATCAAAAGATAAGATATACAAAGGTTCAATTATTAGTGGGGAAAGGAAAATTGAATTTGATATCTACTATTATAAAATCATGAGCAAAACACAAGGAGAGAGAAATAATTCATCTTGGAGGCAAAAGGGAGTGATGTTTGAAGTGAGTCTTGAAGAATTACAAATGCTTCTAAACATTGACAGAGGACCAGCATTCCAGAGGAACTCAGTCTAAATGGCAGCACCCACATCAATCAATAAAGGAAGCAAGGTTGTATGTAGCTGAGTGTGAGTGAGTTGAGGATGAAGAGATCGGAGGAATCAGAAAAATTCTTAAGTGCTAAGTTGAGATCACACACATTTCCCTGTGGAAACAGATTTACGAGGTCTAAGGGGAGATACTGGTTCAGACATCAGAATTGGTTCATGGGGGTGTCCCACAATGTGGCTGTGATGGAGCTTTGAGATGCAGGACTAGGGAATGTTGGGAGTCACCGGGTGACTGGGGTCATCCATTAGAGTAACTTCAGTGGTGGGGGAGCAGAGCTACTGCGGCTGAGTGCTGACGGAGGCTCAGAGGAGGGATGGAGACCGGGGTGCTGGCTCCCTCACCTGGAAGTTGGCTAGCGAGCATCCCAGATCAGTTCTGTTTCAAACTTTAGCCTTCACAAACAAGTTTCAACAAATCACAGCTTTTGTCATTGTAATCCATATGTAATTATTTACAATGTATTGTGAAAGATTAACACTAACATTTATCTATAATCAGGTTATCTATAGATTATAGATCCTGATTATAGATATCTATAGATAACCTGATTATAGATTATCTATAATTATGATAGCCTTCTAATATTATATTACTATGTTAATAGTAGACTACATTATAAATGTTAGTGATGCAAGTTTTAGGCATACTTGCTTGTCTTGAAGAAGCAGTTTCAAATATGTTGAGTTGTATGATTGCATAGTTTTAGAAGCCTCAAGGCTTTGTTATTTTTTGGTGTTGCTTGTCATATTGTTGACTCAAGTGTCAATATAATGATTACTTACTATTGGACTAGATGAATGTGTGTAATGATTTTTTAACATAAAAAAAATACTAAGAAGATACTTATGTGAGATTCTTTTGCCCATAAGTGGTATGTTTTGTCTGTATATAATAACAAATCATAGTTTTAAAGCTGAGGTATATCTGGGTAGATTTCATACTCTGTTTTTTTTTTTTTTTTTTTTTTTTATTAATTACGTTGCACTATGTGACACAGTTTCATAGGCTCTGGGATTCCCCCAACCCCTCCCCATGCCCTCCCCCCCATGGCATACTTTGTTTTAAAGCAGGCAAATGGGTTTGAGTTGGGACTGTATCAGAATTCTTGACTATAAATTTAGGAATTAAAAAAAAATTTTTTATTAGAAAAGCATAATTGCAGAGAAGAGAGACTGAGAGAAAGATCTTCCATCTGCTGATTCACTTCCCAAATGGCCACAATGGCCAGAGCTGAACTGATCTGAAGCCAGGAGCCAGGAGCTTCCTGTGGGCCTCTAACATAAGGTCCCAAGGCATTGGGCTATTCTCCGCTGCCTTCCTAGGACACAAACAGGGAGCTGGGTCAGAAGTGGAGCAGTCAGGACATGAACTGACACTCAAATGGGATGACGACATTTGAAGGGGGAAAACACGCCAGTTGAGCCCCCAAATTGGAGACTTTATAATACTAATTTTTGCAGGGGAAGTGAAAAGGCACATTTGTCCATGACTTTTGAAGTGCAGTCAGCTTCAGGTGTCTGCATGTGTGGGCTGCCAGGCCCTCTTAATGTCTCAGAAGTGCTGGGAAATTTCTGTTGCCTGAATCTGGTAGAAAAGGAGCCGGCCTGCCTAAGCATTGATTCGCATTGTCTCCACTCATGCCAGTGGGTGGAAATGGGCATGATATGTGTTTCAAAGGGAGTCTGACTTGCCATTAGCATGGCAAGTTAGGAGAAGTTAGGAAAATGGAAGACGTTCTGAGTGACTCTGCTATTCTAAAACTGTCAGAGTTGAATGTCCTAGTTTTTCTTTGTATGTGTGTTGAAATGAAATTACAAGTTTTTTAATAGGCAAGTACATTAGCCTATGGCTGAAATCAGTCACTTAAAATTAGTAAGACACTGATTTCACACAGCAACCAGCTCTTGTTTCCATTTTGACGGTTGTGGGTTTTTTTTTTTTCCTCTCTCTGTTTTGCTCCTTGGGACTTAATAGGCTTCACAGAGTCCTAAAGCAGCAAAGATTGGGATTAACAAGGCAGCTTTCAGTGAAAGTGTGAACTCCAGTGTGATTTTATTTGGGATGCAGAGTGTGTGGGAGCATCAACAAGAAATGGGTGTTCGGGCTGCTGAAGGATCTGGAATTGAGAGGGTGGAGAAGAGGGTCCAGGGAAAAGGAGCACTGTATTTGAACACGTAAAAGCCAGAGAGACCAGAGTTCGCTGCTGAAACCGATTTAAGTAAACAAACCATCACTACACTACCAAGGAAAACTGGTTACCGCATAGATGAAGGATGGCGAAAGCAGAAGGACTTGGAGATACACTGAAGGGTTCTAAGCAACATTATGATACAATCAACATAGTTTCTAGTATCACTGATACTGCAGTATGTGGGCCAAGCATATGGTAACAAGATTTTTGCAATATTCTAAGAGATAATTATGGCCTTGATAAGCATGATGGTGGTAGAGTAGGAAGGAGCTCTGGGCTGAAGAGTTGTCCTGGAGATAACTATAGCTCATGGAAGCGGATTAGGCTTGTACAATAGGGAAGAGCAAAGAACAGACATCCAATGCTCAGTGGGTTCTGGCTCTCCCTTTTTGGGGGTTAGCAAGAATCAAGATGGCAGCTCTCCCAAAGAGGATCATGTGCTGTTTTAGATTGCTCCTCCTTAGGCAGATAAAGGGGAAGAAGTGTTTGGAAATAAGAGATGAACTCTGAGGAATAGGAAGGATCAGAAAGGTGAAGCTTCTACTACCATGGACAGTTCTTGTGATCCTGGGACATAGCTCTTATGAAGAACTCTCAGGGCTGGTGTTGTGGTGCAACCAGTTAAGTTTCCCTCTGTGATACTGGCATGTCAGATGAGCATAGGTTTAATTAAGTTCTGGCTGTTCTACTTCTAGTCCAGCTCTCTGGTAATATGCCTGGGAAAACAACAGAAGCTAGCCCAAGTGTTTGTGCCCCTGTAGTCACTTGACGAACCAGAAGTTTTGGCCTCCTTATGGCCCAGCCCAGTTGTGGCCAGTGGATGGAAGATCTCTCTCTCTCTCTCTCCCTCTCCCCCCTCTCTCCCTTTAACTGCTTTTCAACTACATAAAATAAATAAATCTTCCAAAAAGGAATTCTTTGTTATATAATTTCATTTGTGTCACAATGCATGATATTATTCCCCTTCTCTCTTCTTCTTTAATACAGTGACTTATAGTTAATGTTAGATCCAGAAAGAATCTTGAAAATTATTCTTTCTGTCACTAGGTGAGGACACTGACACTGTGGGAGGGGGCCATGGGACGGAATAGGAGGACCCAAGTCCTCTGAGGGCCACGCTGTTGATCTTGCCCCACTGCCTGGCTGCTAGCATACTGACTGACACTGCATTCCCTCAGAGCCGGGCTTTATCAAGGAAAGTTCCACCATCACACAGAAAATAATTACATACTATAATTTTGCAATATATACTTATTAGTAGTACATTTTTATTATAAATATATTCTTTAGTTACAGTTTTTTGGGAGTACAGAATCCCACGTTAGATAACTAGGGTTGAAGAAATATACAGTTCTCTCAGTTCTCTTTCTTATCCTTCCGTTGACATTCCATCATGACAAGCTGAATGAGTGAAGCTGGAAATCTGGACCAAGGCTCAACTTTTATCTCTAATAAGTAGGTGAACTCATTTTATCTCTGAGAGCCTCTTACCTCACAAAATAAGGATTTGGGGCCAGATCCCTCTAAAATCTGTATCTTAGTCTGTCTTTATCTAGTCATCTTGTCTTTCTTTTTAAAGCTACTCTTTTGTGCAATTGGGAATCTTGTGAAAGACCTAGCAGGTCACTGGCCTGTATGTCCAGGATAATAGGGTCAGACTTTAGCTCATGATTGTTGTTACCACGTCTGCTGCTTTGGAAATAAGAGAAGACAGACCTGGAAGGTGTTGAAGTGGATGGGAGTGGATGTGTGGTGGGTGTGGTGCTGGGGTCTTCCACTTGGCGGACGGACAGCTCATAATGACCCACTGAGTTTTGGAAAGGAAATACTAGAATCTCTTTTTGTGTTTATTTGAAATTTATTTACAAAGTGTTTTTCTATGTATTTCAGCATAGGATAGATGAATAAAGTAGCCTAGGTGTGATGTTTATAAATGACTAGAGGTGCAGTGAGTTGCAGGACTGTGCTTGTACTTGTTCAGCTGCCAGTGACTACTAGTCAAGGAAGTTTGGAAACCACTGGTGCAGAATTGGCAAAAGAAAAAGCAGAGTTAGGGACATCTGACCTTCATGATAAGCTTTATGTCCTTAACATTTTCATTTGGTTGTATCATCACCACTGGAAATAAAAAGAAATCTTAGAAAAAGATGAACAGCATCTATGTAGCAGGATTTATTTGATTGTCTGCACCTTATAGAATTGAGGAAAGTAGTCATCTGTTCAACTGTTTAACTTTAGAAGTAAACTTTACTTTGGTTGATGTTTGGAGAATGGCAAGTAAATCCTTGGGATTGTTAAGCAAGTTATCTTAGAAACTGGTATTAATTTGCTGTGATGATGTTAGTGATTATAAACAAATTGGCCAAGGATTTTTAACTTATTTCTTGACGGTTTTTTTTTGCCCCTTTTAAATTTTAAACATCGTTTTTTTTCTGATTATTTTTCACAGAATAAGACCTCAGCTTGCCAAAGAAAAGATTGAAGGATGCCATATATGTACATCTGTCACACCAGGAGAACCTCAGGTCTTCCTGGGAAAAGACAAGGCTTTCACGTTTGATTATGTGTTTGACATCGACTCCCAGCAACAGCAAATTTATACTCAGTGCATTGAAAAACTGATTGAAGGTTGTTTTGAAGGATACAATGCTACAGTGTTTGCTTATGGACAGGTGAGTCTGTGTTATTCTCACAGGTTTTGTAACTCTTCAGAAGTGGGTTGAGTTGCACTTTTCATTTCTTGTTTCTTGAGGTTAGGTTGAGGCAGAACACTCATTTCTCTTTGTTCTTTTGTCCAGACTGGAGCTGGAAAAACGTACACGATGGGAACAGGGTTTGATGTTAACATCGTTGAGGAAGAACAGGGTATTATTTCTCGTGCTGTTAAACACCTTTTCAAGAGTATCGAAGAAAAAAAAACCACAGCAATCAAAAATGGACTTCCTCCTCCAGATTTTAAAGTGAATGCCCAGTTCTTAGAGGTAATAATCCGATTATATCACTAGTTTAAGTGTTGTTGTTACAACCATAAGCCATTATGATTTTAACTGTGAGCTTCTAATACTGTGCATTATATGTTGTGCTTGATAAATGCTATCTGACTCAACGGGCACAAGGTAATAGGAAGTTAGCATTTTGTACTTGAAGCCAATGATGTTGATACTGAAGGTTACAAACACCTGGGGTAGGTGTTTGGTACAGAATGAAGATGCTCCATGCGATGCCTACATGGTGTGTCCAAGTCCTGGCTCTAATCCTGATTCCAGCTTCCCGCTAATGTGCACTCTTAGCAGATGCAGTTGATGGTTCAAGTCCTCGCATTTCTGCCACCCACATGAGAAAGAGACAGAGCTTTCAGCTCCTGGCTTGGACTAGACCCAGCCTCACTGACTGTAGGCATTTGAGGAATTCACCATCAGATGGGAGACCCCTTTTTGTCTCTTTGCCTTTGCTTCGCTACCCTTAAAATATAATAATAATAATAATAATAATAATAATAATAATACAAACACTTGACTAGTGTTCTTAGAGTAAAAGAACAGCTGTTATTTATTTCAGGTCCTCTCTTTGTCATGAAGAAAAGCCAACTGTCTGTTGTGATTTAGATACCTAGTGCTGGAAACTCAGTGAGTGAGACCAACAGGGAGTGGGGAAAGTGTATGAGTGATAGGCTCTATGCTGTGCATCTCACCGGCTTGCAGAAGCTCGTTCCTGTGCAGTGGTTGGGGCAGGTTTGGATTGAGTGCCATCTGTTGTATGGGAGGGATGTGATAGTATGAGAACATGCAGGATTTGAGCCGCATTGCAGGTAGGTGGCGGTGACATCGTGACTCTGGAGTCTCAGTCCCAAGAGTGTTCCACTTCAGAGCACCTGATCCACGAGCTAATGATTTTGGTCGTTGATGGAGCATTTCATTCTGCAATATATAGCATAAATAGGAAACTTCATAAAAACGAATGTCAGAAATGTTGACTGTGGTGAAAACCCCTTTTAGGAAAAATCAAGAAAAATGTGACTGAGATTCTACCAAAAGGAAAGATAAATCATAGAGGAAAAAAGGAAAGAAACAACGTCCTTCTGCCTTCCCTTGCGTCTTGTAGAACGCTGTTAGGCATTATGACCTTCAAGCATATTAAAAGAAAAAAAGGTCTCTCTCCTCTTCTAAGAAGCAGGCTTGATTTTGTCAGCCCCCACTGATGCAAAAACATTACTGTTATTGCTGGCATTGCAAAATGCCTAGTATCGATCAAGATAGGGTAGTAGGAAATCTGTATTTAAAAAGATGTGTTTTTATTTGAAAGAATTACAAAGAGAAGGACACACATACACACGCTAATGGAGAGAAAGAGAGAGAGAAATCTTTCACCTGTTCATTCACTCCCCAGATGGCCACAGTGACTGAAACCGAGTCAATCCAAAGCCAGGAACCAGGAGCTTCCTCTGGGTCTCCCATGTAGGTGCAAGGGACCAAGTACTTAGCCATCCTCTGCTGCATTTCTAGGCCGTACAGAGGGAACTGGATTAAAAGTGGGGGCAGCTGCGACTTAAATCCTGAGCATTATGGGATGCTGGCATTGCCCGTGGAGACTTAGGTCGCTAAGCCACCGTACTCGGCCTAGGAAATGCATTTTTAGCTCTCAAGTAGTAAAAATCCTTCACTCTCTGAACTTCAAATCTGCCTGTACATGTTTGCCATTTAGTTCTTGGCGTTTGCTTCTGAACTTTGCTGGTCTCTTGCAACGAACTGGTTTATCGTTGTAGCTAGTCCTTACCTCATTAGTCGTGATTAAGCCCTTTATTGATCTTAGCCTTGTAATCAAACATGGCATATGCTTATTATTTCCAGTAATAATTTCCTTGTTCATTTTATGTGTTGTTTTGAAGAAATATATGTCATCTTGGAAAAAAAGTATTTGAAAGATGATATTATTCAACTTATGATATTTCTTTTTGACAGCTCTATAATGAAGAAGTCCTTGACTTATTTGATACTACTCGTGATATTGATTCCAAAAATAAAAAATCAAATATAAGAATTCATGAAGATTCAACGGGAGGAATTTACACTGTGGGCGTCACAACACGCACTGTGAACACAGAATCGGAGGTGACATTTATGTTGTGGAAATAGATCGGCTGTTTGCTAGCCTGCTTATGGTTAAGAAATTTGTATCTGTAGTCTTCGATGGAGTTAAACTCTTGCCTTGTTTTTTTTAAAAGTCAAAATGCTGTTATAAAAATGTCAGGCTTATGAGGAAGTCAGAACATTTATTATGGCATCAGAATGATTGAAGGATACAGGCATAACAACCAAAAGAAAAGTCTGTAATTGTCATGAACTATGTTGTGCCTTTTGCTGTAATTTGGAAAGTTCTGGCTCCTTAAAAAATGTTTCAACACAACATAGAAAACAGAGTAATTGAAGTTATTGCTCAGTTTGTACCAACTGCAAACAGTGTTGGAACAGAAGCTGCAAATGTCAGCAAATGGCCAACAAAGCAATCTCAGTCCTTTCTCTGAAAGATAATATGCCATTATACTGAGAAGTTCAGCTCAAAAGGTGCCTGTATCCAAAATAACCATGTGAAAATGCAGCCTCTTTTGCATGCCTTAATATTCTGGGCTTTAGCCGTTGGCTTGGGCTGTGACTTGCACACTGTCCTGGGGGACACGTCAGTGCCCCTTTGACGGCCTTGTCTCTCCCCGCCTTTCAGATGATGCAGTGTCTGAAGCTTGGAGCTCTGTCCAGGACCACGGCCAGTACCCAGATGAACGTGCAGAGCTCTCGTTCGCACGCCATTTTCACCATCCACGTGTGTCAGACCAGAGTGTGTCCCCAGATGGATGCCGTGAGTCATGAGTGCCCTTCGCTCCTTGTCTCCCCAAAATCCCTAGTGAGAGAATGAGTCTTTGGGCCAGACTCAGCCTGCTGGCTGCCTCCTTTTCCTCATTTTCTATTCTGATCCTGTGTAAGTTGAAGCTGGCCAACCACGTGAGATTTTGAAATTAAAAAACAAAACAAAACAAAACAAAAAACAGAAAGTGTGCCGTGGCCATCTGGTGAGGGACAGTCACGCAGGATCCTTGAATCTGAGGACACTGTACTGCCAAGTTTGCCTTCACCAGCATTAGCCATCTCCTTTGATGACAGCTGGGTTCTGATGCTTCTAGCATCTTTCTAAGTTGAAGAGTTCACTGCCAGCAGGTGTTTTTCATGTGAATTTGTTTGTCTTCATGCCCACTTCTTTGGCTGTGTCTGTGTGTATATGTGGGTTGAAGGTGAGATGGGCTTAGAGGGCATTTATTGTTATGTTAATAAAGTATTTGCAATTATTTTCCTTATTTACAGGAGAACGCAACTGATAACAAGATGATTTCTGAGTCATCACAGATGAATGAATTTGAAACCCTGACGGCAAAATTCCATTTTGTTGATCTGGCAGGATCAGAAAGGCTGAAACGAACAGGGGCCACCGGCGAGAGAGCCAAAGAAGGCATTTCCATCAACTGTGGCCTGGTAAGACTAAGGCTTGGTGCTGGCAATGTGCTGGCAATGTGCTGGGGCCTGTCCTTCTCTCCCGTGCGTGTACGGAACCCGTGGGAACCCTGCAGGCACCGAGCGGGGAAGTGGGACCACAGTGCTTACGGATAATGCGCTGCATCGCTCATCTCACCTCTCTGCTTCACGTTGCGGATTTTCTCATGAATGTGATTTAGTCGTATGACATGCAAACAATTATATGGAAGTTGTTTTTTTATTTTTCCTAAGTTTTTTTTTTTTACATTCTTTTTATTTGAAAGGTATATTTTACAGAGGGAGATGGAGAGACAGAGAGACAGAGAGAGATCGTCCATCTGCTAGTTCACTCCTCAAATGGCTGCAAAGGCTGGAGCTGAGCTGATCCAAAGCCAGGAGCCAGGAGCTCCTTCCAGGACCCAGGGTTTGAGCTTTGCTTCATTTTGCTCCCAGGCCATCAGCACGGAGGTAGATCAGAAGTAACATAGCCAAGACATAAACTGGCACCAGTGTACACGCCAGCTCTGCAGGCTGAGGATTAGTTGGTTACACCACCACACCAACCCCCCCCATGTAGAATTTACATTCCACATAATATATATATATATATATATATAAAGCTAATTTTGACTATATATATATATATATAGTCAAATTTAGCTTTTAATTTTAAATATTTCACGGGGTAGGACTTCCAAATTAGTGCTTTGCCAACACTTTATGACAGTTTTTTTTTTAAATTGACTTTGGACATGATAATAAAAAATATCTTTTAGTAATAATATTTTCAAAATAAGAAATGTTTCTAGAGGTTAGGAATTAGCTGTATTATCATGCCACCTAGTGGTACTTTGATTGGATGACACCTGTGATTGTTAGAAGAAAATGGTTTTTAAGTAAATAGCAATGTTTTGGGCCTAATCTTGTCTTCGTTTATGAAATCAAATATTTATTCCTGCAGAAAAGTAGTGATGTCCCTAGATTCCCGTGGTGCTGGCGGCCAGGGTGTGTGTCTTCTGCCTTACTTCCGTCTCCTTCTGGGACCGGAGTCTCCACACACCTGGGCCTCCCCTCCCTAGCACGCCCCCCATCATTGCTCAAAATGTGATAGTGTCAGCTGCAGCCCGTGAGGGATGTACCTTCCAGTCTGAGTAGTGACTCAGGCTTCCCTCCCAGCACCAGGACATGTTTTCATGCTCCTCATCTGTGTTTGCAGTGTCCACACGAGGGTGACCTGAAGCCTGGGTTCTGTGTGTTGTTTTTGAGATACAAAATGGAGGTACTTTCAGGAGAGGTGCCCTTCTTGGGTGTCCCTGGGAAGGCTGTGGAAGCGTGCTAGCAAGGTGTCAGCACTCCAGACTGTCCGTGGCCTCTCTGGAAGCGAGGGACTAGGACATGGTGGGATGGCTGGGCCGCTGCCAGCCTGACCCTGGACTGCTCAGATGACAGCATGCTTGTGTTGAGGAAGGGGGTGTGACCAAGGTGGCAGTCACGTTGCAGGTGGCAGTTCTGTGAGAGTGAGGAAAGCAGTAGCGGTGGCAGGAGGAAGGATGGGTAGGGTTTAAACATTTGTGTGCTTTGCATGGTTACATTGGATTTTGAAGGACAGCATTGCTTACACAGAAGTACCTGTTCAGAGAAAGCACACTGATTTTCTGTTTGGAAAGATTTCTTTATTTAGTAGAAAGGCAGAATTGCAGAGAGAGAAAGAGAGTTCTTCCGTCTCTTCTAAGGAGAGCTGGAAGAGAATTGGAGCCACTGGAACAGGAGCCAGGAGGCAGAGGTTTCTTCCCTGTCTCCCACATGTGTGCAGGGCCCTGTGCTTGGGGCATCTTCCACTGCATTTCCAGGAGCGTTAGCAGGGAGCTGCCTCCCAAATGCCAGTGCCCAGATGGGATGCTGGGACACTAGTGGCAGCTTTATGCAGAAGCCATGACACTGGCCTCCATGCGGAAATGTTTATGGTATTTACAGGAGACTTTGTTTTCCCAGAAGGGAACAATATTGTAGCAAGAAAATTTCATATAAACATTTTCATGGACTATTGAGCTATCTGAATTTTTTTTTTCATTTATCTGAGGAGAATTTTCAGCATTAATTAATCCTTTTTGAGTAATACAATCTGCTTGTCTAGGGATAGCTGGCAATCATCGGTCTAATGGATATATTGCTAGGGAATATCTTGGAATCTAAGCTCAGGTATTTGTGAAGTAGCATATATAGGGCACTAAGCTTTGACTGGTGTCAGCTAACACAAAAACTTGGAAGTTCCTCGTGCACTTCTAAATACAGATGAAAGCAAAGCTAAACATGACTGTCTCAGCTCTGTCATAGCTCTGCATTACTTGTGCGAGCCTTCTTGGAATGAGAGTGTATGACCCCGCCCCACCTCTCTTTCAGCTGGCACTTGGTAATGTCATCAGCGCCCTGGGCGATAAGAGCAAGAGGGCCACCCACGTCCCCTACAGAGACTCCAAGTTGACAAGACTCCTGCAGGATTCCCTGGGGGGCAATAGGTACGTATAAAGGGGTGTTCTTCATAGTACTGCATGCTGATGATTCCTTATTTACTTTGAAAGGATTGTTTGTTATTTTTATTGGAAAGGGGGATTTATAGACAGAAGGGGAGAGAGACAGAGCAAAAGAGAGAGAGAGAGAGAGAGAGAGAGAGAGAGAGAGAGAACTCTTCCATCTGCTGGTTCACTCCCCAATCGGCTGCAGTTGCCAGAGTTGAGCTATTCAGAAGCCAGAAGCCAGGAACCAGGGGCTCTGTCTGAGTCTCCCACACAGGTACAGAATTTCCAGGCATTGGGCCATCTTCCACTGCCTTCCCAGGCCATAAGGAGGGAGCTGGATGGGAACTGGAGCAGTTAGGAAGGGAACCAATATCCATATTGATGTTAGCACTTACAGGAAGAGGATTAGCCAGTTGAGACATGGAGCTGGGCTCTGATTATTCATTATTTTTTTAATCAGGCATCTAAGGTGATTCATAAGAACTGCTTTTATTGTAAAACAAATTAATTGGATACGGAACTAATAATCATATCATTAGGGACCTACAGTATGTGAGTCATGTTATATGTTGCTATTGTATGTAATCCTTTTAATATTCATTGAGTAGACGTTATTATTCTACTTTATGGGTAAGAAATTGAAATTCAGACAAGCTAAATAATTAGCTTGTAAATGAAGTCTATAGTGTACACTGTTTCTGGCATTTACCATTTCTGTTTTAAAATGCTTAGCACATAGTAGGTGCTTAATAAAATTAAAAAAAATCATTGTCTTCCAAGTGATCATAGACTAATTTAAATTATTATTAACTTTTTGCCAAGTTTTCTAAACCTTCACTGTTTTTTTTAAAATGTGTGGAAAATTTGTCTTAAGATGTCAGTGGAGAGACGTGCCAGGCAAAACCTGCGTCTGTTGTGCCAACATCCCATGTGGGGCTGGTTCGAGTCCAGGCTGCTCTCCTGAAACCCTCCTTGCTCTGACCTGGGAAAGCAAGAGAGGCTGGCCTGAGTTCTTGGACCCCAGTTTCCACTTGGGAGACCCAGAAGAAGCTCCTGGAACCTAGCTTTGTATTGGATAAGCCATTGTGGCCATTTGGGGAGTGAACCAACAAGTCATTTGGAAGTCCCCCATGCCCTCATAACTCTACTTTTCCAATAAAATAATAAATAAATCTTTGAAAAGGTCTGTCGAAGGTGATGTGTGGTGTTTGGTGGTTAATAACTTTGCTAATATTCTTTGTTTTAATTCGTTAGTTATTCTGAAGTATTTCATCAGCTAAGCACACCTTTTTGATAATGCATTCTATTGTTTAGATGTCAATCTGTTGATCTTACAGGTGGAAATATTCTTGACATTTGAGAGTAATCATAGCACAAGTCAAGGAGTTACACACAACCACATGATTCCAATTTTTTTTCAGTATTGTTAACAGTCTAACCAACCATGTTGATTGGAAAGATCCTAAGATGCTATCTAGTAATCTAGTAGTTAAACTTAAAGCTTTGTTTTAGGTCAGCTATTCAGAAAATTTTAGCTAGAGTTAAATCTGTAGATTCTAGATCAGTTTGGTTTAGAAGCAACATTTTTTTAAATAGAATTCAACAGTATCATTTTTAATTTTTCTTCCTTTTACATAATATTGATCTTCTCTCAGCTTACCCCTTTTCATCATATCCTATCAGCAGATATAATTTATTTCTATTGTTACATGTTTCTTCCTCTTGTATTTTTGGTCTGAACTTGACTGTTCTTCTGGGTCTTATTATAACAAAGTAGAATTTTTATTCTTTAAGTCAAATGTGCGTATTTCTAAGTCACATCATGTGTAGCTCTTTGCTATATTTATTTCTTGACTGTAAAACGAAACAGAGATGGCAAATGCCCCTCTTCAGAAGTTTAAATACTTCTGAGTACGTCATTACATTTAAAAGCTTGCTTGCCTTGAAGCACTCTAAAATAGTTGGACTGCAGGCTTTGGAGTTCCTTTGGAGTTGAGGCCAGTGTGCGGCTCAGCTGTTCCTCTGCCACTTCCGTCATGGTAGCAGTGCCCTAAGGGTGAGCTCTCCTTCTCCTGCCATCCTAGCCGACCTCAGTCCCTGCTTAAAATGGTAACGTTGGACTCCTGGTTGACTAGCCTTATACTGTGTGTGAATCTCTGAAAGGAAAATGCCTTAAGACAACAATAACAACAACCACACATTAAGCATAAGTGAAAAAAAACCAGGTGTTTTTGAAAGTAAGCTTCATATATTTATGTGAATAATTTCTTTGTAAAACACACTGTTATAACTTTCTAATGTTCAATAAAACATGATGTTTGCAGCAAGAATTCTGGAAAATGCAGAGTATAGAGCATGAATAAAAATCAGTTCCATTTCTACTGCATAGATGGGATTACTGTTCATAGTTTTCTGTGTTTCTTTTAGATGCACAACTTAAAATATAAAATTCATAATAGATACCATAGTATATTTGACAGAGAAGCCTTTAAAACAGGGTTATGGTTACATGAACTTTAAGAATAAGCAGCTCTGGTATTTGAGTTTTAACTAGATTCAGTGTTGAAATTTACCTCTCTGGGGTTGGTTTAATCTGTGACCTTTTGCCCGGGTAGTTGATTGTGGCCACTCCCCTTGGCTCCAGCTTTCACAGGTCTTTTAAGCTCTTGATCCCAGTGCTTCGCAAAATATTTGTGAAGGGCGAGTCCCTCCTTTCGGAACGGCCTAACGCTGTACATGCCTCGGCTTGGTTTGCCCTGTTTGAGAGCGCCCCTCTAAGTTTGCAAACCTTTGAGGGGGTCTCCTCTGGTCTCTTCGGTGACTTGAGTTCATTCATGATAGGAGGCCCTAAAATAAAAGCTTCTAGAATGCTCGCTCTAAGTTCTGCATTCACTGCTGACTACGAGAGACGATTTGCAGGAGAGCAAGCGACCGTGCTTGGAGTTGCTCGCTTGCAGTCAGTCTCCACGAACCTCATTTTTGCTGGAATACTTTATCTTCTTTATCAAAAGAGAGAGCTAAAGTGGTGGAATTCTGTTTCTGATCCACACAATGGATATTTTGTACATATGGCATATAATACGAACAATATTAAGGAACCCCAATATTATGTGCTATGCTTTGATGTACCCTGATAAATAAAACTTGTAAATCCTGCTTAGTGCTCAAGAGTTTGGAGGTTTATAAAATTTTAAAGAAACAGTCATCATGTAATAAGAAAGAGATACACGAAGAATAGGAGGAGACTGAAAGGTACAGCTGACTTGAGGGTTAGGGTCTATGACCAAGTGAAAACTTACCTGAACGCTTAAGAAATAGAAAGAGCACAGGGGAGAGTGAGCAGGTTACAGAGTGTGACCCCCTGTGGAAGGGGCACTGAGAGCGCTGTATTGTGACCCCCTGTGCAAGGGGCACTGTGAGCGCCCGCCGTATTGTGACCCCCTGTGGAAGGGGCACTGAGAGCGCTGTATTGTGACCCCCTGTGCAAGGGGCACTGTGAGCGCCCGCCGTATTGTGACCCCCTGTGGAAGGGGCACTGAGAGCGCTGTATTGTGACCCCCTGTGCAAGGGGCATTGAGAGCGCCCGCCGTATTGTGACCCCCTGTGGAAGGGGCACTGAGAGCGCTGTATTGTGACCCCCTGTGCAAGGGGCACTGAGAGCGCTGTATTGAACTCACGAGGAGGACAAGAGAAGCTGGAGACTGTGTGGGAAACTTTGGGGTGGACTGGCGTTGATTCACGTCCACATACACAAGAGAGCTCTTCCATTGCCAGCCCATTGACGTTTTAGTCACAGTGTGAATGTCTGCTAGAATCTTCCTGAACTTGGCCTGCAGAGTCGCTGGGCTTAGGCTTTGTGCCACTTAGCTGGCACAGCAGTTTATTAAGACCATGACGTAATGTTCCCGGGGACATGGCTCCTGTTTTTCCCCGTGTGAGCTGATGAGAAACCCTAAATCTTTCATCAGCCTTCACAAGTGAGACTTTATGAGGTGAAACTTGGGGGTGACCAGGTGTTCTTCCTGCTTGGGTGTGATGGAATTTGGTGTGAATTTCTTTGCTGATATCAAGAGTCAGGATACCACTTATTAAATAAAGAAATTCTTAGACTACTCAACTTAGTAAGTCGTGCAAGAAACAGTGTTTGGTATTTGATTGATCATAATAGTTTATTTTGGGATTACTGTGTATATTGCTTCAAAAGATTTTGGTAGAGTGAAAACAAAGACATGTACAGCTGTACTTTTTCAAGGTATTGTTCAAAGAAGTTAATTTTTCTTGATATTACCCAAGTAAATAAAATCTTCTTTGAGGTGCTTAAACCATGGAGCTTTTGAGATTACTTCTAGTTTTAAGTTAGTGCCGTTAATTCACTGTTTTGAAGTGACTATCCTGATCAATGACAGCTATTTTAAAAGGCTTATTTTTGTGTTTTATTTGCCTTTATCTATAACCCTAATTATTATATGTAACTTTCAGCCAAACCATCATGATAGCCTGTGTCAGCCCTTCCGACAGAGACTTTATGGAAACGCTCAATACCTTGAAGTATGCTAACCGAGCTAGGAATATCAAAAACAAGGTGATGGTCAACCAAGACAGGGCTAGCCAGCAAATCAACGCGCTCCGCAGTGAGATCACGCGCCTTCAGATGGAGCTCATGGAGTACAAAACGGTAAGTCCCTCTGCGGGCCACGGTGCTTCGCGGCACATCCCCCATGCCTGTTAGTGATGGCTTGCACTGTGTGTCTCGGAAGTCCTCTGTCGCAACCACACTGACCCTAACCCCTGGAGCCTTGCTCCTCAGCCTGGGGAGTAGTGCTTGTCAATGTAACTGACCAGCACTTGTTCGAAGGCTTCCTCAGTGTTCAGTGACTCATGTACCATGGAGGGTCATGGTAGAGCGTAAAGGACCTCACGCTCTTGTAGAATTGTATTGTCTTGGGGTATCTTTGACTGAAACTGGTGTGTATTTAAGGCTCTTGCACCATCCAGGACATATTTTCCTCCCTTAGGGGAAAAGAATAATTGACGAGGAAGGCGTAGAAAGCATCAATGACATGTTCCATGAGAATGCCATGCTACAGACGGAGAACAATAACCTGCGGGTGAGAATCAAAGCCATGCAAGAGACAGTGGACGCACTGAGGGCCAGGATCACACAGTTGGTCAGTGACCAGGCCAACCAGGTTCTTGCCAGAGCAGGTACGCGGGGTGAGCGGGAGAGGCCCCGCGGGCGGGCAGGGGATGTTCTTTGTGTCGAATAATTACCCAGCAGCGTGGGAGTAGAAATGCCAACTTGTGTAAATACAGTATGTCATTTAAACACTTAATGTTAAAAAAAAAATCACGGATGCTTGCGTAAGTGACGCTTGCTTTGTATCTGGTTGGCCCGTGGTCTGCTCATGTTGTTAAGGGTGAAATATCCGCTGTGATGTGAGTGTTGTGCTTTACAAGACCTCTGCTTTCTTTTTTTCCCCAGATGCTGGTTTTTTTCTCTTGTTTTGTCGAAATCTAGCTTCCTAAGTTTTCATTCCATGCTTTGTCTTTCAGGTGAAGGGAACGAGGAGATTAGTAATATGATTCACAGTTATATCAAAGAAATAGAAGACCTCAGGTATAGTCGTGTTTTATGGCACATGTTGTGCATGTTTGTTTTGAGCTTTGCAATGTTGTGAAATTTCTGTCCTTGGAGCTTTCTGTGCAGCTGCTGTCCGCAAGAATGTTTTAGTCTGTTGGTCAGGTTCCCTTTAGGAAAACCAGGTACTTGCTTTCTCGTAGTATTGTTTTCTGAGGTACTTTCTTTACTCCCTATAGCCTCCTGCTCTTAGTTCTGTGTCCATCAGTAGGTGATTGCTTTGTTTACAGAGTTCTGTTGTGTGTCTTTCCTCTCTGAGCCTCTTTCCTCACCCTTTGAGAATTCATCAATATTTGCATACTGTCACCAGTTTATTTGGATCGTCTATTGTCTCCCTGGCTTGCCTTGATGGCTGAACTCCTGGGAGGCCGCTGGAGGAGCGTGTACGCAGTGCAGAGGTCACTTTGACGCCCGTTTGCAGGCACTATCCAAGTTGGGGAGATTGTCCTTCATATTTAGTTCTCTTTCCCTGTCTCTTCATCTGATCATTGTGGATGTTTTAAATCAGGCAAGTACTGCCTGTTCTGACTCCCCAAGACACACTGGATACCCTCAATGTTTCAATAAGTGAAAACCCTGAAGAAGATACTGATGAAGTTACTCAAATCAATGTTAACTTCTTGTTTGTGGCTGAGAGCATGTGGCTACGTCTGTGTAATTTTTCTGGCTTTACTCTTTGTCAGAGTTGTCAGGGACGTTGCGTCCTAATTCCACTCAGCAGCCCACCTGGGCTTGCAGCTGCTATCTTTGGTTGGCAAGACTCTGCCCTCCCTGCTCAACAGTCATTCTTTCATCACCTTCTCCCTTATCTCCAGACCCCAACCTTACCATTTCTTCAGGTGAAACTCACAAAATCCTCTTCCTTTTCCTGTTGATTGCATGCACTTTCTTGGCACTGGCCAGTTGTTTAAGCTGCTCCCACAATCTGCTTCTTCTCCCTCCTGTTTTGTACATCTGCATAGAAGCTTGGCCGCAATCTGGGCCAAATAGCAGGATCAGTGTAGTTCTTTCTCGGAGAAGTGCCTGAATCATTCCCCACCCATCTTGTGGCAAAAGAACAGAAACTCCTCTGAAGTTTCGAGTTAAGACGAATCCTTAAGCCCTTTAGAAAAGAGCGATGGCTTCACGGGCTCCGAGTTCAGTCACTGACCTCTTGGTTCCTGGCACAGATCCCCGGTACCACCTTGATGGCTTTCTAATTGCTGGGTCCCACCTGTGCAGAGTAGCCTTGCAGAATCCCAGGACTATAATTTTCAGTATAAAATAATTTTCATCTGAGATAATCTTAAATGAATTTGAATTCAAGTGGGATTACCTGGATTAAAAGTCAAGCTTTTATTTATTAATAAGGTGTGTGACTTTGGGCCTTTGTCCGTATACTTCCCCTGGGCTTTACTGCTTGGTCTCCTGTGAATTTTACCCAGGCAGCCACGTCTGTGTAAGGAGAACAGAGAGGAAAGACTGTCACTCTAGCGCTTGCATGGAGAGCAGGTTCCGACTGTGTGGCCTAGGGTTTATGGAGGGGAGTCCATGTCAGCACCCATGGTGGAAAAGCATCGAATGTATCCTTGCCACATACCAGCATTCAAAATCATGTAAAAAATAAAAGTTTCTATTTATTACATAACAATAAAGGAACCAATTAAAATGCAGGTTTTTTACTGTTAACTGATTTACTTCCATTCTTTGCAGTTATATAGTTGGGCTTTGTGCTGGAAATTAAAAATATAGAAACGTTTACTTTTGGTTGATGATCATGAATTTTGACTTTGAATTTTTAATAATTGTTATTTTATACTTACATTACTTTCTTAGTTAAAATGACATCATACAATTTTGCTCAAATGGAATCATTTAATTAATGTAGGAGTTGGTGCATGACTATTCAGCTGTATAAGCATGCTGTGATTGTTCCCCTATGTGACGTAAGATATGTAACATAGCAGTTTCATTACAGAACACTTAAGACACTGATTCGTGTATTTACCATTTTAATACACCGTATCACTAGCTGGTTTTGAGATTCCTGAACAAATGTGGTAGATAATGAAAAATCGCTATGCTGACCAGGTCTTCCAGCGTTCAGCGGCTGTAGATGATCTAGTGTCTTCCTCTGCAATATTCGAGCATGTGGCAGAAGTGCTTAACAACACAGTGTGAGACAGAGGGAGGTGGTATTGCCTTCTGTTTAACTTTGTCTCAGTCAGCTTTGTGCTAAAGTAGCCTAGGATATCCGTTACATTCAGGTAGACAGTCGGGTTCCTGATAGTTTAAAACAAGTTGATGTAGAGAGAATGATCTAGAGGACTCTGACGTGGCAGCTAGCCTAGGCTGCTTTCGGTTCTCAATATTCCGTGTTTTCACATGCGAATAACAGCAGGTACATTATTCTCTTGTCATTATTAGGGCTGCTTGAACAAAAGAGTGTTTTCAGTTCTAATACTCGGGTTTCCTTGGAGATATCATCTTTTCCCACACCGTATTCAGGAGCCAGATGTCTGTCAGCCAGTGAGGGGCGAGTTTGACTAGCTGTTCCTCGCGAAGTTTTGGACGTGCTATTACTGTGCACCGAGGGGACCCTGCTGCCTGTATATTTTCAGTTTGAATAGTGGGTTTTCAAAGCAGGAACAACTGTTGCCCACTGGCCACAATTCAGTTTAACTAATTACTGCCAACATGTAAAGATGCAGAGTTCTTAGGACCACTAAGGATGTGATTTCAAATGTATCAATCAGGGAATTTTAAAATGTCGTATGTATTAATGTTTGTGAAGACATTTATTTAAGAAACTTTACCCTGTAGCCGTATTGAAATACATTTGGGGAAGGTCTCAGCCTGAAGAGGCACACATCTGAGGCGTTTCCTGTTTATTCAACGCAGACAGATTGACAGAATTAGAAAGGGACGGTGCCGGGTAAGGAACGGCCTGTTAGCACCGTGCTGCTCCACCATCTGGAAAGAAGTGCTTATGGTGGTAAACTTTGTTTTCTTTTTAGCCATAACAGAAATAGTGCCCTATTTAAATATGTATATATATATATATATTTTTTTTTTTTCCCAATAGGGCCAAGTTACTGGAAAGCGAAGCTGTGAATGAGAACCTCCGGAAAAACTTGACGAGAGCCACAGCGAGATCGCCGTATTTCAGTGGGTCGTCAGCATTCTCTCCTCTGTTGTCCTCGGACAAGGAAACCATTGAGATTATAGATCTAGCGAAGAAAGATTTAGAGAAGCTAAAAAGGAAGGAAAAGAAGAAGAAAAGAAGGTAGTAACAAAATTACTGCTACACGAATCTGTTGTTATTTTGATTTGTAATTACAGTGAATATTTGTAGTCTGGTAAGTATACTAGTGTGATAAATTTTTTAAATTTACTGACAATAACTATATGCTTTTTAATGCCCTCTCTCACTTTGTAAGAACAAGTGAGTGTAACAATATGGGAATGAGTTCATTTAAACTGTGACAGGTGGAATTACTGTTAGAAATTATTTGAATTCTCCTAGTAGCTGCTGTTGCATTCTGTCCATCTCCCCTGCCTGCTTGTGTGCAAAGCTTACTGCATCATTTCAACTCATTTCTTTGTTTTCTTTCTCCCATTTCCTAAAGCAATCATATGGTCCCATAGACATGCTCATTTCCATCTAAATTAGTTTAACTAAAGGCTAAACTAATTCATCAGATTGTCATTTAGTGTCATTTGGTCTCTAGTGTTTTCTGTCATCTGATTCGGTTCTATTAGAGTTACTCCTGGTATTTTAGACTTTTTGAATCTTCTAACCCATAGTCCTTCCATCTCTCACCGTTTTTGTGGAGGCTTTCTTTCCCTTGTGACCTGGTAACATCTCCCTCTGAAATTAGCTTGGTGCAGAGAAGCAAAAGAAAATGAAATCTGACCACTTGGAATGTGTGAGAGTGGTTAAATATTCATAAATTCTCTACATGCTTGCATATTGATTCTGCAGTGCAGTCATGTTAATTACTGAGAGTATGTTTTGAGCACACCAGTCAAATTCAATTTAAGCATTTTTGGCTAGATATTCAAAAGGATACAAAGCCATCTTATCTGTCCACATGGTTTGTTACGAGGGGAGTGTTTTGTCGGATTCTTGATGACATTTATTACATGCTATTATGCTTACTTTATTTAGAAATATATTTAAGAAATCAGGCATTTCATCTCTAAACTACTAGAAATTTAAATTGTTCAAGTTGACTCTACTCCTTGAATTAAGAATGCGTGATTATTATAATTAAAACAAGGAGTTACGGTTAGGGGGCATTCCCGCCGAAAGTTCATTCTTGAGATATTGACGTGTTCTGAGATGGTCTTGGTGGGTAGCTGGCTGTGGCCGTGTTAAGAAGTGCTAAGTGACCTGCTCTCCTCCAGAAGGGGATTCCTGAAGCTAGTGCTTCCCACGTGCTGCCCGAGTGAACAGGAGACTTTTGCACATGACTTGTCATTGACTTGCGAAACCTAATCCTCTAGTTGGTACCAGTGTCAGGTGGACTGGTTTCTGTGGGCTGGATGGTTTGTAAGCAAAGGTGTATTTCTCAAGGCCTGGAACCGGTGTTGCCCTTTCCTTCTGAGATAAATGCAGACCTATTGCTTTAGTCACCTGTAGAATATGGAAAATAGAAAATCTCTAGGAATCCCGATAGCCTTGCTTCCTTGGATGTGCATATAGTGAGAGTACCCCAAATAAGACTTCTGGGTCAGGTTGTTTTTGTAATAATGCTGGGTAAGAAGCACTTTTAGCTAATAAGTAGTACCAAGTAATGCCAAGGCGTATAATTATTAAGATGTGTCTTTGTTACTTTACTATTGGACTCCTATCCTTTGTAAAGTAGATAAAATTTAAGTAAAGCAGTAGTTATTTCAAGGTGGAAAATTGAGATCAATTCAATGATTCTGATACATGTTAATTATGATAAAATAGTAGTAAATGTCAATAGTTGTAAGAACTCACTAATCAGCTCATTTAAATATAAATTTAAACATTGAAATATAAATATTTTCTTGGAAATAAAATAAGTTATTTTCTAAGAAAAGGAAATATAATTAAAGGTAAAATTTTTGTGATAAGAATGAAGAAGCCAAATAAGACTACATTTTATAGTTCATCAGTGAGACAGTCCCCAAAGGGCAAATACCATATGTTCTCTCTGATAAAAGGCAACCTTCATGCAACATGCAAAACAAATAGATGTATGGGGGAAGATGTTTCCTAAACTTTGTCTGGGGCTTCATCTTGGGACTGGTTCTCTGAAGCTGCCCTGAGGTTCGTGGCAGCGTCCCTGTCTCCACTAACCTCCGTGTTGCGTAAGTCACTTGGGTATGGGTAGCTGTGTTCCGTGATAGCAGCCACAGGGCCTCCGACAGTGGACGGTGGAGGAAATGGTGGGAGGAGCAGCAGCCCCGGGCTCACGTGATGCCTGAACCTGCACTGGTGCTTTAGCAGCTCGCCCCAAATCCTGCTGACGTCTGCTCATCCTCTTCTGCCCATGTCTTGTCTGAGCTGTAGTCAGTAGCCAAGAGATGAGGTTCTAAGGTTTGCGCTTTTGCTTCTTAGTGCTGATTTTCTGTTAATGCAGAGATGTAGACAATAGGAAAAAAAGGGGTCTCTGGGGTCCTGGCTGCCCTGTTGGCTGGGTGGTTTACCTCTGATTACTTGACTAGACTGTGCTACCCATCATTCAGGTACACAGATGCTGAGACTGGCTGGCAAGATGGATCTCTTCTCTTACTTACAGAGAAGGATTATTGTGGAAATAAAAATTGAAATAAAAACCGAGCTCCAGTAGATGATGGCGACATAGCAGGGCTGCGTCACTTCCCTGCTCCTCGGCTGTCTTTGTGAACTGTTGATTGCTGGAGAGGCCAGCAGGGACGCATTTCAGCATCACTTGTTAATTTAGACACTTGTCATTTACATTGGAATAAAAAGTTGAGCTATCTACAAGGGACCTTTATCCTTTGAAATATGGTATCTCATGATTATTGGAATCTAGCCTGCTTACTATTCTTAGCGTATATGGACAAAGAAAATCTATCGCTTACACATTCAGTCTCTTACTTTTGGATATCTAGCTTTAAATGACTTGGAATATAAAAAAACTTCACCCATCTATCAGACTGCACGCTGTTTGGATTGGGTGGCACTGGTTGGCACCTGGAAATACAGATTTCTTTTCTTTTCTGATTATAATACTAGGCCCTGACCCCAGATAGATATCACTTTGTATACTTACTTCTTGGAAAGATTGCTAGTCTCATCTTGCAATGACATAATTGAGGATGATTTAAAAAAAACAGTCGCAGACTCATGAATTAATATCATATGTGACCTCATCTTTTATAAATCCATGTAAAAATAGGCTTGATAAAATAATTCATATCTGAGATTCAGTCGCTTCATTTCATTAAGCGTTGGCAATTCCAAAAAAATATTTTGGAATTGTAGAAAAGGAATGCTATATCCATATTGATATATATTCTTTGACAGAGCCTAGCATATCTATCTTTTTTTGTCTACATGACAACTCTTGGAGTACAGTGCCTTCCACTGAGTAAAGATATCCGTGTGTGTTGGATGTTGATTAAATTATATTACAAAGGTGTTAACTACAAATCTGAAGTCTTACACCTTTGTAATTTAAAAAAAATTACTAGAGGAAAGTACTGTATTTCCTATTTTTGACCACTTTTGCTGTAGATATTCCTTTTTCGTGGATAATGCATAACAACTAGTATAATATAATCTTTAACCCTGTGGAGATTTTATTTTTAATTATTAAAATCAGTCTTTATCATTGACCTCATAACAACCATGTTTGTTTGCCCGTCATACCATTTCATATATAATTTTGAAATAGGATTTATTTTTTAGAGATAGTGATGTTCGCATGTACTGATTAAAACTGAGCGTAAGTTTTCAAGAGTAGAGTCTTCGTAGTGTTACTGATATTTCCGTATTTATGGTATAAAGGCATTACTTTGTGAAATTGTTTGCATGATGCCATGAAAAGATCTTCTGTAAAGGTTTAAAAGGAGGAGGATCTTATTGAATGTGGACTTTTCTAGAGAAGCTGGAAAAAGTGGCTCGTTTCAGAATCATCAGAGCCTTGGCATCCAGGTGCTCTGTAAACGGGAGACCGAGTGGTCCTACTGAGCACTTCAGCCCAGAGTCTAGGCACTCTTGTTAGGCACGATGCTGTATGGTTTCCTACTTACCTTCTATTCATTCAGAATGTATTGCCTTTTTACTGTGTATTGTCCTTTGATGATATCTTTTACATTTATTTTGAAGTCTTCAAGCTCATGTATCATTTTTACCTCCTTACCACTCTCGCCTTTTACTGTCGGGTTTGTCCTTCATTGGCTTGGCTTCCAATACTGTGCCTCGTGGTTTTGAAGGCTACAGAAACTTGAGGAAAGCAGTCGAGAAGAAAGAAGGTTGGAATATTTCCCAGGTTTTTCCTTACAATGTCATTTACATACTTAGTTGCCGTGCACAAGGAAATGTGTTATAGAATTGTAGATTGTTTCAGACTAGATAAACTGGGTGCTCCTAAAAGGAATTGTGATTTTGTAAAAAAAAAAAAAATCACAAAATGCCAAAACATTTTTTAAACATAGAATTTAAAACAACAAAAATATTACTATTTGTATTTAGATTCAGGCAATTTCAAGTAATTTGGAGCTGTCATGATTATAATGGTGACTTAATTCCCCAATTTATTCTACAAATGACCCCAAAATACCATTGATTAATAAAAAGTGAGTAATTGGTTTGTTGCTCAGAAACTTGTGAGCAGGAGGGAAGTTATTAATTGGGTGGGGTTTGACATTTTGCTTCTATGTGTAGGGTCATGGTATTAACCCTGCCTCCTGTGTCCCTGATGTGGTGTCATCTTATTTAAAACCCACATTGAAATGACACAAAATCAAAAGGAAATTGTGGCCTTACTCCAGCTAAAATTTGCAGAGAATTCCCAAGCTTGAAATAGAAAAAAGCAGTTTTTTTGCTTTTAAAATGTACATGAAATGGATAAAAAAAATTGAGACAGTAAAATTTGAAAACAATTTCTTGAGCAAACTTTGTGAACCCTGTATTGGTAGCATTTTGTACTTTGTTGTTTTGGAATTATGACTATTTACACAGAATAAGTAGCATTTTGCTTCTTATCAGAACTTATCATTTGTTTTAATTTTTGTTTTTATTGGAAGTTCAGATATGCAGAGAGGAGGAGAGACAGAGAGGAAGATCTTCCATCCCATAACTCACTTCCCAAGTGGTCACAACAGCCAGAGCTGAGCCGATCTAAAGCCTGGAGCCAGGAGCCTCTTCCAGGTCTCCTTTGCAGGTGCAGAGTACAAAGACTTTGGGCCGTCTTCCACTGCCCTCCCAGGCCACAGGCAGGGAGCTGGATGGGAAGCAGGGCTGCCGGGATTAGAATTGGCACCTATATGGGATCCCTGGCATGTGCAAGGTGAGGACTTTAGCCTCTAGGCCACCGCGCTGAGCCCCATAACTTGTTTCAGTAGATTTTTCTCAACTGAATTTTTCTAGATAAAATCCTCAAAATGTTTAAGAAAGCAAACTCATTTACAAAGAATATTTAAATATTTTAGAAGCAAAACTTTAGAAATTTTGTCTTTAATAGGAATTTGAGAACTTCCACTATGCAGTTAAATATCTAAATATATTGAAACTTACTGTTTTAATTTTCTGTAAATTAATTATTTATATTCCACAATATAATTCCATGATTTAAATGTTATCTTTTTCTCATTTCTGTACTTTTACCCCTTAAATTCATAACTTTGTAAAAAAAAGTATTCAATAATTTTATAATTGTAGCTATCAGTAACATTAGAACTAATCAATACATATTTTTCCATTGGAATTAATCATTACATTTGTGCAGTTCTTCTAAGTGGAAAAATAAGATGCCCTTTTAAAGCTGCGTGTGGAAGCACTTTATTAAAACGTTAAAACAGTCGAGGCCTCAGTGTCCCCATTCCTCAGCAACAGAAGGACAGAAGCAGGTAGGGTTCCAGGCGAGTGCTGCTCAGCCTGGAGCAGGTTGGCCACCTCCTGGGGAAGGCCCGTGCCCAGCAGCAGCTGCTTCAGCAGGCCTGAGGTGGACATGCCACACTCTGCAGCTCTGGCTGTATCGCAGGTGTTCCTGCCCCATGAACTGGACTTTGCATAAAGGATTCTGGAATATGGCCCGGGAGTCAGGATCTCAGTTGCAGTTCCCTCCAGTGAAGCAGCTTCCTCAGGCCGCAGTTTCTCTTTTGTTTGTCAGTTGAAAGAGTTAATAGCCAATGTTCCTTCCAGCTCCCAAGATTCTGATTTCATGTAAAGTGCAAATTTAAATAGCATCCTTTGCTGTTTTATTCATTTAGATATCAATATGCCTCAGTTTATCAAGGAAAGCTTGAATGTTTGAGGTACAAAGATAAATATCAACTGGTATCTTAAGAGTTTACACTTAAAAAAAAGTCTATACTTTGATTTGTAAAAGGTGGATTAAGCACGTCAAGTTATGTGCTGACTTTGTTGCTGCATTAGAGTAGAATGAACACTCGTGAGTTAATGTGTAAGTGAATATTATGTGTTAAACTGTGTATTGGTGAGTTGGAGTCATGTGTTCAGGGGAAGGTGGTGTGTGGTTATAATCCTGAGTGAGAGGGAGTTGGGGATGGAAGTCATGAAAGGACTGAAGCAAAGACTGACTGCCAGTGAGGGCGGAGACCTGCTGACACTCTCCCTCCCGGCCGAGGCCTTGGGCCCTCACCTCAGGCAGGGGCACTGCTGGGGCAGGGCTGTTGGCCTTCTCACTGTGACTGCATGGAGGGAGCCTTCTCCCAGGAGGTTCAGCCTGGCCTTTGTGCTGGTGCAGTCAGCAGTCCTGGCATGCCGTGAACAACCCAGGGAGGCATTCTGTATATCACACAGTCTGACTTCTTGTTGGTCCTAAAGGCTCCTGTAGACATTTCCCAGTGATGAGGTTTGTTCTTCTGTGGCACAGTGATTTGATCCACAGTAGTCAAGGATCCCGAGCTGACTATTCCAGTAAATTTTGTTTTATTCACCTTCCTGCTGGTCTTTCCCATTTAGTCCAGTGATGTGCTGTCTTCCAGACAGCTTTATGCATCTTTCAATTGTGTTTTGCTTTTCAGCACTAACTAGTGCAGGAGACACACAGGCGTGTCGATCTGAACTGCTCATGCATAGTTTACGGGAGTTGATTCATTTACAGGCAAACTGTCGGGTGTTGGGCCCTCCTTACGATCAGATCAGGAGTCTCCCTGCCTACTTGAGGCTCATAGTCTAGGAGACGAGTAGATACTCAGTATACAAAAGTAGCAAGCCACAAAAAATACAGGGAAAGATACTGTCTCCATGTTGCTCTGAGCACAAAAGTATCTGAGAAGTCTAGAATTAAACTTCAGAGTTAAGAGATAGTAATAGGGCTATAATGAAATTAAAAATTTCACTTAGAAGCTAACACTAAATCCACATTATTAATTATTTCACAAAGCAGAATACCTGAAGTAAGTTACCACTGCTATGAAGCTACCCTGATAGGATTTGAAGTTTAGAAGAACTTTATGTGGATAATGGTTGCCTGGAGTACGATTTTTATTCTCAATGACTTGATAATGCTAATATAGCACAGAAAAAATCTTTCACAGGCTCACTAGAAATTCCCTTTGTTAAGATTGATTAGCTTGATTACATGTGTGCGTCTGGTCAGCATGGTTGATGCTGGTTGCTAAACGCAAGGAGGATGTGACTTGGTGTGCGGTGAGTTTACCTCCTGTAACTTTGTCACAGTCACAGGGATGGATTTGTTTAGCCATCACCATTTGCTGACCAGTGTGGAGTCCTAGTTGTAGGTACTACGTAACAGATGAAGAGGGCTGCCACATGTGTGATGAAACTTCTGGCAGGCCCTGGAACTTTCCACTCTAAGGGCAGCCTGGGCAGCCAGTAGTGCTAGCCAAGACGTGTTCTTGAGAACATCATGAGAAGCAAGCCCCGGACCACGGGGAGGACCTGAGAACAAGGAGCGTGCGCTGACACAGAGGCACAGGAACGCTCCCGGGCACAGCCACTGTGGGCACACGGACGGGGCGGAGCTGCACCCAGTCCTCAGGTCGATCATTAGTTGCAGCGGAACATCAGTAGAAAGTGCAGCTCTTATGTCTCTGTATGGGAAAGAGCTTAAGATAGAGAAAGAAAAAAAAAATGTTTGAGTTCTTTTGAAATTCAGTAGCTTTGCATTCTGGCTAGCTGGTTGTTGCTGAGCTGTGTCTCAGCTGACCCAGGAAACATCAGGCTTCAGGGGGTGAGTTGTTGCCTCCATGTTTCCAGTTAGCTTCTCTCCACCACTTGAGTCCTTGAGCGATGGTTTCTGTTTTTCTCTGAAGCGTTAGATAGCTTTGCACAGTAAGCGACCAGCTTAGAATTGTTTCACACATAATTGATGGTTTTTAAAATTTTGATAGGAAGAATAATTTTCATGTGTAACACTATACTTTTCCATCCCCCCCTCCTTTTTTTTTTTTTTTTTATAGCGTGGCTAGTAGAGAAGAAAATGCAGATACAGACCAAGAGAAGAAGGAAGACAAGGGTGTTTCAGAGAGAGAGAACAGTGAGTTGGAAGTGGTAAGTGTGAACAGACAAATTTGAACATGTTGTCCCAGGGCAGGTCACTATTGCTGATGATGGTACTGTGTTCCATGTAGAAAAGGAAATGATTTTCATGCATTGAGGTTGAATTATTTCTTTGAGCGCTTCTTTTTGTAAGTATGAGCTGTAAAGTATTGGCAGTTCTGTCTAGTGTTATTAGGAAGGCTGTGTGTGAGTGTGTGTGAGAGAATGCTACGACATGTGAGAAACTGTTCTAAGAGAACTTTAGTACTGATGTGAAATTCTTGGAGTAGTTTTTGCACTGATGAAAAGTAAAGCTTTGTTTTTGTACTTTGTGCTCAGCCACCTCTTACTTCAAGAAGTCCTTGGTTTGTTCTAATGATTTCAAATCACATTTTAGGAAGAGTGCCAAGAAGTGAGTGAGCATGAAGATGAGGAAGAGGAGGAGGAGGAGGAGGAAGATGACATTGAAGGGGGTGAAAGCTCTGACGAATCAGATTCGGAGTCCGATGAGAAAGGTACTTAATCTTCAGCACAGAGAAGACGTTCATTTGGTGAAGTTGTTTAAGCCATTGCACGAAACTCCTTTTTTCCCCCTCTCCAATGGAAGCATAATCTTTTTTAGAAAATTTATTTATGGAAAAGGAACAAATTCCATGTCTTTCGTATATACACTCCTCACTCTCACCCTCCCTCCTCTTTCCTTCTTTTTTTTTCTTTTTAGTTTCACTGGTGACATGATTTCAGTTTACTTTGTAATTACAATCTTCATTCCCCAGTAAGTAATGAATTTTAGTAGTAGGTAGAAAGACCTCTGTTACTCAGGAGCATAGCAAGGGCTGAAAACAGTAACACATCTCCAGATGTCCATTTCATTCATATACTTCACATTTTTTCCTTTGGCTCTATTTATCAGTTACTATGAACCCTACAATATCCGCATCATCCCTGGTCAGTATGGCCTTACTTCCTAGTGACCTCCTTGTCCTTTCTGAGGTCCTCGCCCCAAGCAGTCACAGGGTCTTTCATTGGCTCGGTTATTCATCCCGTTGTTTCCACTTTGGTTTAGTACAAATATCATCTGTAGTCCCTGACAAATGGGAGTGAATCCTTGGATGTGTAGGTGATGGTGTTTACATTATGGTTTGAAAACTCGAGTTAAGATAGTTCACATATTCCTAGTATTTTCACTGTCTTTTTTCGTACATAGCCAACTACCAAGCTGACTTAGCGAACATCACTTGTGAAATTGCCATTAAGCAAAAGCTGATTGATGAGCTTGAAAACAGCCAGAAGAGACTGCAAACGCTGAAGAGGCAGTATGAAGAGAAGCTGATGATGCTGCAGCACAAGATCCGGGACACTCAGCTGGAGAGAGACCAGGTGCTTCAGAACCTAGGTAAGGGCCGATGGAGCAAGCGCAAGGCACGTCTTACAAGGGGCTTTTACCCCTTCTTCCCTCAGAAGAGCAAGGTGTCCTGAGAAAGTTTCTGCTTGGGATGCCTGCGCCTCGTACTGGGGTGTGTGTATTCCTCGCATGGCTTCGTTCCCCATTCCAGTGACCCGCTCTGCATTCTCTTGATGGGGGAGAGAGGTGAGCCCGACACCCACGTGGGAGACCCGGGTTGGAGTTCTGGCTCCTGGCTTTAGCCGGCCTCGCTCCGGCTGCTACAGACGTTCCAGGAGTGAACCAAGAGATGGAACTTCTCAAAATGCACAAGATAGATGCTAGTTTGTCTCATTATGTTCAATATGATTTATTTTGTGTTTTCATGCTGTTATCTAGGTTATTTAACTATTTGATCCAAACGTATGTTTTTGTGTTTTAAATTATGTTGGGAGCATATCAGCTTATTTATTGCCAGAATTTAATTAACTTTGTTATTATTTATATATATCTGAGAGGTAAAAAGAGACAGAGAGAACGCCTTTTTGCTGTTTCCCTCCTCACCCCGCCACCCCCTGCCCCAGTGCCTCCAGGCCAAAGCAAGAATCCAATCAGGGGAACATATACATAAGAAAATCAAACTCCATTAATCAGGATTATTAAGAGTGGATGAAAAGGAGGGTTGGAAGGCCTGTGGCCTCCCAGGGTGCGTCTGAGGGAGCGTCTTCTGGGCTGTAAAGTGGCAGCCTCTGGGATGTGAGAATGTGTGTCTCACGGAACAAAGCAGTGCAAGCATCCTTTGCTCACGTAGGCTCAGTCGAATCCTACTCAGAAGAAAAGGCAAAAAAAGTGAAGTCTGAGTATGAGAAGAAGCTGCAAGCCATGAACAAGGAGTTGCAGAGACTTCAGGCTGCTCAGAAGGAGCACGCCAGGCTGCTGAAAAATCAGTCTCAGTATGAAAAACAGTTGAAGAAGCTGCAGCAAGATGTGATGGAAATGAAGAAAACAAAGGTATCGGTTACGTTTTCCGTGAAAGCCGGGCTGGAAGATGCTGGTGTCGTTTGGGATACAGCATGTTTAGGGTAGGGAAGAAAGGGAGCAACACGCTCGCTGTCTACTTCACGGTGTTGTAAGTGGTTAGCAGACTTCCTGTGTGCCCTTTCCTGGCCCTGTACCCGTTCCCTGGGAGGTAAGAACTGTCTTGAATTTGATATTTATAATTCCTGTAATTAAAAAAAAATAGGTTTCTTTCTCTGACCAAAGAATATATGGATCCTTACTTGCTCCTTGTTTTTAAGATTGGATTATTCTTAACCATGAAAATCAGCTAATTTCCTTAAAACTGACATGGGAATTCCATTACTGACATGGGAATTCCATTACTGACATGGGAATTCCATTACTGACATGGGAATTCCATTACTGACATGGGAATGCTTTACGAAGTAGATTGTTATGTAGCTGCTGAAAACAAGCGTAGCCATAGCTAAACGTTATTAGGTGATTTCTGTTACAGGCACTGGGTAGGTACTAGCTTGTGGAATTCTCACAGTAGTCCAGTGACATGGAAATACTACCTCCATTTTATAGATGAGAAAGAAAAAACCTGGAGAAATTAAGTAACTACTCCACTAGCATGCAGCTATTGATGGTATCAAAGTCTCATTCAGGTTATAAAACAGCTGAACATTGACTATGAAAAGCAAGGAGCATGAAGCGACTCAGTGGAAGTGTAACTGAAACAGAAATTATTAATGCTGCCAGAATAAGACTTACCTATTTAAAACAGACAACGAAACTGTGTGTGTGTGTGTGTGTGTGTTCAGAATTGCAAGAGTTTCTTTTCGTCTGTGTGGTTTGTTTACTGAATGGTATGTAACCTAATTCTAGGTTCGTCTGATGAAACAAATGAAAGAAGAGCAGGAGAAAGCCAGACTGACGGAGTCTAGAAGAAACCGAGAGATTGCGCAGCTGAAAAAGGATCAGCGCAAAAGAGATGTGAGTGAGCTCTGGCGGGTCACCGAGAACACTCATCCTGAAGTCTAAACCGTCGGTTCATTGGAGAGGCAGAGGGAAAGGGGAGGCTGAGCTCTCACCTCTCTCACGCTCTGTCACTCCGGCAGTCAGCAAGGCTGTGCTGAACACACGAGCCAGGCACTCCGTCCGTGCCTGTGTTTATTCTTTTCCATGTATACTGATGTATTTTGGTAATCAGTATATTTGGGTAATTCCAGAGCATTTTAGATTTTGTTTATACATTATAATCCAGCTGAAATCAGGAAGCACTTTTAACATTAAAAGAAAGTTGAGCTACAACGTATATACCATAAAATATACTGCTAAAAATTTTTATAAAGATTTATTTATTTTCATTGAAAGGCAAATTTACAGAGAGAGACAGAGAGAAGAATCTTCTGTACAGTGGTTTAATCCACAAATGGCTGCAAGAGTTGCAGCTGAGCTGATTCAAAGCCAGGAGTTTCTTCCTGGTCACTCAAGTGGGTACAGGGCCCCATGGCTTTGGGCCATTCTCTACTGCTTTCTGGGTCATAAGCAGGAAGCTGGATGGGAAGCAGAGCAGCCAGGACACAAACCGGCACCCAGATAAGACGCTGACGCTTTGAGGTAGAGGATTAGCCAGTTGAGCCATCATGCCAGACCCTACTATTTTTTATCTTTTGTTTTATATTATTTTTCATTAGACTTTGGGATTTCCCTTGTCCCCATCCCAAGTCTCCCCCCCCCCACCGAGTTCCCTTTTGTTATTACTGTAATATTCATAAACAACCATATGTCCATCATTGCAGGCATGGACAATGGCAGAATCCAGCACCCTATTGTCAAGATATAGTTAACAGTTTCAGTGGAAGTTCATCTTTGATCAGGAAGTAGAGATGCATACTACTTTGTATCCTCACATCTGGATGTGACAGTCTCCATTACATAATTGCCATACATCTCCTTAAATGAAAAGCCACAGTACAAAATCAACAACAAGACGACACGTAGAAATTTATTTAAATAATAGAATTTAAGTCTCTAATATATTCATAGCATTTTCCACTGGTCACTGTTATCCAATTCCAGCACATTTTTCGCCGTCCCAAATAGAAACCCTGCACTCGCTGGCAGTCGTCTGTTGCTGTTCAGCCGGGGATGGCTGCGGATCTCTGCTTTGTATTTGTGGATTTGCCTACTCTGGACGTTTAACACAAGTGCAGTCACACCTTGTTTAACCTTCCCTGACTGTCTGCTTTGACTTACCATGACATTTTCAGGTTCGCCTACGGGGTAGTGTGTACCACCACTTTATTTCTTTTTAGGACTGTGCAGATAAAGCACATTTTGTTGATTCACTTATATACTGGTGGACATTTGTGTGAAATTGTGTTTGTAAAACAGACAGTTATAGCGCAGAGTAAGCTTTGTGTTCAGTAAAGTGTCAGAGAGATGACTTTTATGGCTAGATCAGTATGTGTTTGTATGTGTTAGCTATGCCTGTGCGGTCCAAGCTTGTTAGCTCAAGTTCTCATAGTTTCTCATAAATAGAGAAATCTTCTGATTTACTGTTTCACCTTATTTAAAATTATTTTATAGCATCAACTTAGACTTCTGGAGGCCCAAAAAAGAAACCAAGAAGTGATTCTTCGCCGCAAAACTGAAGAGGTAGTGTCAACAAGTTAGCCGATTGGAGATGTTCAGATTGAAATCGGTGAGCGCTTTATAGACTGGAGACAGTATGTTGGTGTCTGTTGCTTTCTCAGGTCACAGCTCTTCGCCGGCAAGTCAGGCCCATGTCAGACAAAGTGGCCGGAAAGGTCACTCGGAAGCTGAGCTCGTCGGATGCTGCTGCTCAGGACTCGGGCACCAGTGCAGCTGCTGTGGAAGCGGACACGTCTCGGGCAGGAGCCCAGCAGAAGATGAGAATTCCTGTAGCCAGGGTCCAGGCCTTACCAACACCTGCAGCCAATGGAACCAGGTCTGTGGGCATTGACAAGGATGGTCGTCTCTCAATGAAAAAATGGCTTGTTTGACTGGGTGCGCTGGCCTGAGTGCCGGAAGAATTACCTTTGTTTTTATGACTCTAGAAAAAAGTATCAGCGGAAAGGACTGCCTGGCCGAGTGTTCACTTCCAAGACGGCACGCATGAAGTGGCAGCTGCTTGAGCGCAGGGTCACGGACATTATCATGCAGAAGATGACCATCTCCAACATGGAGGCCGACATGAACCGGCTGCTCACGGTAGGGCATACAGGCAGCGGATGTGTTCCTTGAAAAGTGCGACACTCACCCGGCTTATATGTATATTATTTTTCCGGTTTTGGGTGTACTCTCCACGAGTAGGTGAATATTGTTCCTTAATGTGTAATCTGTGTTTTTCATAGCAACGAGAAGAACTCACAAAAAGACGAGAGAAACTTTCAAAAAGAAGAGAGAAGATCATCAGGGATACTGGAGAGGGGGACAAAAATGTGGCCAACATCAATGAGGAGCTAGAATCACTGACAGCAAATATAGATTACATCAATGACAGCATCTCCGATTGCCAAGCCAACATCATGCAGATGGAAGAGGCAAAGGTGACACCAACTCTTACGTATCGTGTGTCATTAAAAGCCTTTGAACTTTTAGAGTAAGGGATTTTCTGCTGATGGGTTATCAATCTTGGATTATCAGATTTACAGATTCTTAGGCTTTAGGTGGAGATGCTTGCCTGAGCCCTGGATTTTTCTGCTGACTTTGTGGCATCCTTTTTGGCATGTGAGAGGGGCATTGTTGCTTATCTCCTGCCTGAGTTCGTCACCACTCGAACAGCTGTTCTGTTTTCTGTTACGTCGTGTGTTAGTTGGGGTAGAGACTATGCTTTTCAATTTCCTAAGCCTTCTCCTTAGCTAATCCAGTACCCTCTGTTAATGACACGAGATGGACTTTTGTCTTCTCTTCAGATTAATCCAGTTCAAATTTTGATGCTGGTTACATTGGTTTCATGCAGGAGGAAGGTGAGGCGCTGGATGTCACTGCAGTCATTAATGCTTGCACACTCACGGAAGCCCGGTATCTTCTAGATCACTTCCTGTCCATGGGCATCAATAAGGCGAGTGCTGGAAACCCAGGTTTTGGTGAATTCCTTGTGCTTCTGTTTGTTTTTCTCCTGTAACGTTTCTCTGGGTAATAAGCAGGAAGACTTTTCTTCACGGGACAATATTCCTTTCACCTTTCTTAAGAATTTAGAAAAACTAGCAATATTTAGGTCAATTTCATTAGCCTGTCATTTATTATACTTGGCATTAGAACAGACAACTTAAGGAAGAAATAATTTTCCTTTTTCAATAGCAAAAGAAATTTTAAAAATTCTCACGATGCAAACACATTTGATATCATGAGTGTTCTGATACTGATTTTCTGTAACTCAAAATCAGAAAGAAAAAGTACAGTTGTTCTGCCCTCCTCTTTTGCATGTAAATGCTGTGAATTGTCACCAATAAGAAACTTCTGCCCAAATGCCAACGATGGTAATGATTTCTCACTCACTTTACTTGCTTATTGGGGCTGTGTTGGATCTGTTATGTTCTCTCACTGAGCCTTCATTATGCACCTGCCACATGTACTCATATCATTTTGCATGAGAGAAACTGAGATAGAAGGAACGTCACAGCTTGGAAGGATGACTTGTCTCAAGATCACTAAGCTGGTTGGTGGGGGAGCTGGGATAAGTAAAGGTTAGTTAAATGCCCAAGCCCACACATCATGTACATTTCCTATTGTCTATCTGATGTCAAAATGTGTATATTATGTGCATTTTCTAGTGAATGCAGTCTTGGTGTGGTAGGTTCTGTTTTGTATGACTTGAGACAATTTGTTCTTTTTACAGGGTCTTCAGGCCGCTCAGAAAGAGGCTCAAATTAAAGTACTTGAAGGTCGACTCAAGCAAACGGAAATAACCAGTGCTACACAGAACCAGCTGTTATTCCACATGTTGAAAGAGAAAGCAGAATTAAATCCTGAGCTGGATGCTTTGCTAGGCCATGCTTTACAAGGTAACTTGGGGTCCGTTTTAGTTGGATGACTTGCATGGTAGCTTCGGTTTTTGAACATGCCATCCTTGACCTTGTTGCTCTGTGGCTCGAGTGACTAGATGCCGTACCTCGTCATGCTTTTGATAAAGACGCTTTCGTCATTGTGCATGTGTATTTAAATCTGTGGGGGGGAGTCATTGTTATTCCAATAAATGATGACCAACTAAAGAGGTGTTCCTAACATTATGAAACAGTAATTTTTGCAAATAAGGAAGATTAAATAATTTTCTGAGTTGGTTATTTAAATTACTTATTAACCAAGCTTCATTACCTTACTCTGCGTATCTAACGGCCTTAAAAAAGAAATTTATAAAAGTGTTTGCTATGGCATCTATTCTGTGTATCTTTTAAATGGTACATAGTCTTGTTTATATGGAAGTCTTTAACATTGGATCTGTTTTGATTAGAGTATTGCTTTTGTTTCCTTTTTGCTGTTATTACACAGATCTAGATAGCGTGCCATCAGGTAAGTATGTTTAGCTTTCTGTGTATCCTACAGCTGCATGAATTACTAATTGTTCATGTACACTAATTGTGGTATATCTTATGTCTAAGATTTTCTTTTTATTGGCAGCCAATCGATTTTTGCATGATCTTTCGTGAAATGTATCCACAGCCACAAACATACTAAGTCTTTTGTCTGTATTAAACATTCCTGGTTTAAAATTCTTAGATATTTAAAGAAGTATGTTTTAGTTAATTGTCTTCTTTATTATTTGAGCTCCAGCAGCAGCTCCAGTTTCATAAGCCCTCCAACTTTTTTGTCTTTCTGATAGGAAAAATATGGAATAGGAATATGTGCTACTTTAAAAATTTCCAGTGTGTCTATTAACTTGCACCTATTGGTTTAACCTCACAAATAACTTTCTTTTGTACATATCTTTCTTTGGCATATATTTGTCTCCAGCAACTGTTGCTATTTTCTCTTGGATTCTTTATGTTTGTAAAATTAGGCACCTGGTTTTTAATATTGCAAATTAAATTAAAGTGTCCATGGGATTTTGTTTGGAGTTTGAGACCGTGTCTCTGCAGAGCCTTTGCAAGCAGGGAGGGGCTGTGTGGAGGACTGTTTGTCGAGTCCTCGGCTCTTCCTCCCCGCTCTCCGGCTGTGACGTGGGCTCCAGGCACTGCCTCCTTTAGTGCTTGCACGCGCAGGATGAGGGGGATCAGGGAGATTTTGTCATGGCTCTCATTCCACTTCCGTGATCCAGATAGCATCCTAAATGGTGATTTTGGAGCAGTGTTTTTTAAACTAAACTTGTGTCAAAAAGTTTTTGCCCTTTGTTACACAGAAAGTCCTGAGTTTTCCAAATGCTTCTAAATGAGAGGAAAGTAATTGAAAGACTCAGTGCAATGATCTATGACTCTACATGTATTTTATTATTTTAACTATTTGTTTACTTTTGAGAGAGAGAGAAAGTAGTTAACAGAGAGATTCCATCCTCTGGTTCTCTCCTCAATGACCACCTTAACTAGTGTGTGAGGCTGAGCCCCGCGGCACGGAACCCAGCTCAGGTCTCCCCTGTGAGTGGCAGGAACCAAGTAATAGGATCAGCACCTGCTGCCTCCCACAGTGCATGTTAGCAGGAAGCTACGTAGGGAGTGTGCATGAGATTCAGACCCAGGGACGTGGGTGCCCCACACAGCTGCTCACGGCTGCGCCAAATGCCCAGCTGTGCATCGATTCCCCATGTTAGAAGGCTGAACGAGCAGAAGAAATGGCCTCTTTGAGGTTTTTAGATGCTTGCACTACATCTTAATATCAGAATAGCATTTCTTTGAGACTAGCTGCAGAGTATAGATACAGATGTTATTATCCTAAGGCGCTTAAGCCACTGTATTGTGTGAATGGAGCCAGCAAGCAAGTTGGTGCTGAGGAGCCGTAAGGGTGAGAAGGGCAGAATTCCAGGCTAGAGGCACAGCCAGGGCCACGCCTGACGCCACCAGCTTGCACTTTTGTAACACTTGATAATATCTGTATTACCTTCTTCTTGTTCCCTGTCTCTGTTGGAGTCCCAGCGTTTACCCCTCTTGTGGCCGATTTGCCAGAATACTCACTGGTCTTGGCGTAAGCGTGTCTTCATGGCCAGAGACTGAGGGGAGCACTGTGGTGAGGACACAGCTGGCTCGCACACATGGTCTGTAGTGATCCCTGTGCAGGCTTCCTCACGTGTGCACCAGGTCTGTGCCAGGCAAGTCTGTTGGACTTCCAGCATGGTCATGTTCAGCACCTTCTAGAAGGAGTGCAGGAGTGCAGCAGGAGCATTGCATAGGCACAGCCCGTGTCAAGTGAGCAGCCTTCGCAGTTAACCCCGCCTGGGGACACTCTGGGAGCCAAGTGTGCAGAAGTCAGCCAAAGGGTAGTCACCTCATGTGACGTAAAATTACAAATCCCAAGGGGAAGAAGTAGTTTAGATTTATGATCACAATATTATTTTCAGTTTGGTGAGCTGGTTTTACAGTCAAATGTATGCATTTTAAAATTCTGCACCTGTTGTGGGGGCTTGCTGACATTTTAGTTTATTTTCCTAAGGCCAGTATTTTTTAACTGATTTCTTACTGATTTTATGTGTCTGAGTGTCCTGCACCATTTCCTGTCTGCGACAGTTGTTTGGAAATAGTGTGGTTTACTTGTGCTAGTTTACAGGAGCGTTGCATGCCAGCCTGTTCTTGTCCTCTGTGTCCACGTGAATGAGCTGCATGCTGACATGTGACTTCTGAGTACCTTCACGCACAGTCTCGCTGCTCGAGGCCAAATTAAACAAGCTAAAATGCTGGAGTAAGTTGGCATAGCTGACAAAGTGTAACAAGTGTCTTTACACTTACCCGGTAGTGCTCATGATGGCTAACTCCATGGATGGAGTTCATGTAGCATTTATTCTGAACTTGTGTTTCTAACTCGTGGACCTTGTGGGTTTACCTGGTGCCGCATAAATACGTGAGTCTGACAGACCATGCCTAGACATTGATACCGATCCAAGTCCACACATGATCTCACCCTCACCCCATGAGTGCGTGCTGTGTTCCACCGTTCACACTGACGGGTTTCCTGTTTTGAACATATTTTTCCTCAGCCCAGGAGTTTCCTAGAGACACTGTTCTGTTGTTCTATTTTGGTTCCGCGGCTGACACCCAAGCGCCCAGACTGAGACAGACAGCTGCTGGTTATGGTAGCAGAGGGGTTGCGGTCTCCATGACGTGTGAATGATACCTCTATTTTGGACTGTCTTTTTTTTTAGAAAATGCAGAGGATAGTACCGATGAGGACGCACCTTTGCACAGCCCAGGATCGGAAGGAAGGTGAGCAGGTGCAGCTTGTCTCTGCCGTGGGTATAGTGTTTCAGTGCAGTCGGAGCACAGTGCCACAAGGCAGTGCTTAACCAGCAGCAGGAACAGTAAGCTGGAAGCCCACCTCGGCGGTGCTTGGCACTTGTGCATTTTAAAGTACAACCACTGGGATGATTAGGGAGGAAAAATGAATGATTTTAATGCACTCACTTTGATTCTGAATATTGTCTGTATTTTTATGGAAATAGCACATATTTTCCATAATTGTAAGCCTAGAGGGCCTCCGGTTTTGTCATGGTTTTCAATTAGCCTTCGTTTGTGTGCAGCACGCTGTCCTCAGACCTCATGAAGCTGTGTGGGGAAGTGAAGCCCAAGAACAAGGTGAGCACTGTGGAAGATGTGGGCAGGTGGGCAGGTGGGTAGGTGGGCAGGTGAGCACTGTGGAAGAGGTGGGCAGGTGGGCAGGTGAGCACTGTGGAAGATGTGGGCAGGTGGGCAGGTGCTTCCTGCTGTGCCTTGTGACTGTTCAAAGATTAGGAAATGGATGTGGACTCATCCAATTTCTCCCGTGTATGTGAAGTAATTTTTTAAAAATAACATTCCTCTTTAAGTGGCAACTAAAAAAGCTGTATTGAAAATTCCTCTGTGTTGGAATTTGGACTTTCCTCTCATCCAGGGTGATGGTGGAAAGTAAATCTTGAGCTTCCGTTAACCAAGTTTCAGACCCTACGACAGCACAACAAGTGCTTGAATAAAATAGTACTGTGCCAGTGCACAAGATAAAGACCACCATGGTTAGTGAGTGCACATGAGCAGTGTGGTGGGACATGCAGGGGTCAGGGTGCGCGAGGAGCCTGCTCTGGTCACCTGGAGATGCGTGCTCCGTCTGAAGCAGATACCACAGCTAAGTCGTGGTCATTTCTGCCATGTGAGGACATTGGCCAAGAATGACCAAATTCTGTTTTTCAAGAAGGTCTTAACTATGGCCTTTTGTGTAGCATCTCCTAATCTTAACGATATTACAAAAGTCACTCATTTCCAGACACCTTTTTAGTGTTGCTAACATCGTTTGAAGACTTTTTTTTTGTAAGAATCAGACACAGAGACAGAAGCATCTGGAGTTCTTCCCTGTTCACTAACCAAACGCGCACGGTGGCCTCCAGCTGGGGAAGCAGCAAGCGGCCCTGAGTGGTGTGCAGGTCGCACGCAGGAGACAGAGGGCAAGAACCCACCTGCCTGGAAGCTTGAGCAGGCCTGTTGCCTCCCACGGTCTGCATCAGCAGAAAGCTGGAGTCAGCAGTGAAGCCACGCGGCAAGCCCAGGCACTTCCCTATGGGACACAGGTGTTCTAACTGGAGCATGTTAGCACCAGGCAGAGGTCAGGAAAATTCAAGAAAACATCTGATTACGGTCTGAGGAAAACGAGAGAACCTCAAGGCAACCTCCATCGCCCAGGCCCTGCCCTAGTGGAATGCCAACCCCTGAAAGAAGGCCTGTGCATAGGAATCGCCAGGAAATACTACCCCAGACCATGGGCAGTGGGGAGGTCCACTGTAGAAAGTGGTTGCTGGGCTCCCTCTTGCCACGGCTTTCCTCACGGCCGCCAGCTACCTGGATGGAGCTTTAAAGAGGCTTGGCAAGATCTCATTGTCACTCATTGAGTCAATAGCTTTAGCTTTATTCATCTTGCTTCAGTGGGTATGTGTTAGCATGGTATCAAGAGCAGGGGAAATGTAATTGAATAGAACAGGGTGCCTGCTCTCCAGGCAAAGCCCTTGAGTAGCTCTCGGTCCCTGAGTGACATCAGCAACCAGCTGTAGACAGTGCTGGTGAGGATGCTTGGATTCCAGGAGTAAGAAGGAGCCGTTTATAGCAAGTTTAAAGCATTTTTCCCTTCCTCGCTATGCTGAGTTCTCTAGAGAGCACATTAAACATTGTATTGTTGCAGGCATCAGGAGGGAAGGATCCCCACAATAGAAAATAAAATGTAAAAAATTCACGTTAATGCCTGGGAAGCATCAGAAGTTAGGTGAACTTCCCTGTAACTAACTTTCGGTTTAGTATCTTTCTTCTTGTCTTGTACATTTCCTTCCTCGCTTGTTTTGTTAAAACGCAGTGTGTTAGAGGGTAGCACAGTACTGCTGGAGATGGATTGCCTCAGTGGTTTGGCCTCACCACTGGCCAGATGTGTGGCCCTGCAGATTCCTCACTTTGCTGCTCAGAGCCTCAGTTTCCTCCTTCAGGAATTTGGATAATGACATTACCCGTCTGTGCCCATGGACTACAGTGTTTGGGACAGTACCAAGCACATAGTGCCCTGAACTGTTGGCTGGTTCTGCGCCTGGGAAGGGCTTACCTGGCCATAGCTCTGCCTTTTCACTCTCATGTGCTGTGTTTGACATTTGCTAGAAGAAGACACACTAAGTATTTTTTCCTGTTTCAACTCGTATGAATCTGTTCTCTCATCAAGTTCCATGTAGAAGTCTCCTGATGGCTTTTCCATCCCTTCTCTGCCTAGGCCCGAAGGAGGACCACCACTCAGATGGAGTTGCTGTATGCAGATAGCAGTGAGCTAGCTTCAGACACTAGCACGGGAGGTGCCCCCTTGCCAGGCCCTCTCTCGCGTGTTGCCGAAGGGCAGGAGACTGGCGTGACTGCTGAGACGAGTGGCGCTTGTGCTGGGGAGAAAGAGCCTGCTCCCGCAACAGGCTTGCCTGCTAAGATAGGCAGCATGTAAGTCTGACGCAGCCGTACTAACGTCCTTCCTGTTGCCTTGGACTGTTCATTTTTAATATGCATGTTGCTAACTGCTTATTTCTATTTTTTTTAAATGTGCAAATAAAATTTTTAGTTTTCCAAATAATTTCTGCTAGATGTTATCTCCCTAAATTTTTTGGAGATTTGAAATAATTTGAGATTTTTCTATTATTTTCCATTCAGTCATCTTAGTGAAAGAGCCTTGTCTTATCTCTTAGTTTTATGATCATTCTTCAGGCTTTCATGAAAGATGAGTTACAAATTATAAATAAAACCTGTTGAGAAGCACTTGAGTTAAGGTTAGACCTGTAAAAGCATTATCTGCAAACAGAAGCTTCAAAGGCTCATAATTTATTCTAAGCTTACCCGTGTCCTTCTGCTAAAAGCCTGGTCAGAATAGCATCTCTTTGCTAAGAAAGAAAAAGAAGTGCCAATCATGGACAATACACTTCGAACTTTCTTAATTCTTTACCCAGTACCATGTTGCATGACTCAGATGGGCATCTGCATAATTTTTTTTTTTTTTTTTTTTTTTGCTTTTAGAGACTTGATGGAGGGAAATTCTGTCTTCTATGTTTGGAAATCTGAACAAAAAAAAAACAAACTGAAGCTTTTTTTTTTTGAAGCTTCATTAATTTTTTTAGGACAAGGAAAGATTTCCCTGCTCTCACACGCACATGTATATGCCCTGTATGGTTTTATAGTTATTGCAAAGATCAGTGATTCACTGGCAAAGATTTTTAGTGACTTTTTTCACACTAACCTTCTATATAATCTTGTGCCTGATTTATGGAACGACTATCTCTGCATTGAAGAATATTGCTCCTAAAAGCAGCAAGCATTACAAATAATATATAATAACAAACCTTCCATCCTTGGACATCTGTTCTCCATGCTGTTCTTTTTTAAATGAGGATATTGTTATTAGCTTCCATTGAGTAATTCCATTCGCTGCCTATAGAGCCAGATTCACTGTTTAATGACAGAACTCTGTTGCATGTGCTTGAGGTGACTAAACCGTTGGATTTGCTGCTAGAGCTGGCTGACGGAGGCCGCTGTGGCTTCAGTGCATCCGTGTGAGAGGAGAGTAGAAGTGCTAGGGATAAAGGTAGTGAGAGAGAGCAGGACGCTGTGGGGAGCCCGCGTGTATTTAACACGTACTCTGGCGGATGCCAGAGACTTTTGGAAACTTCAAGATTAAGTGACCTGGAATCCAGAATCAGGTAATATCTTCTTTTTGCCTTTTTTGATTTAAAAAAAAGAAAGTATTCTTCGTGACAGGTTGTAGGAGTTACCTTTTGGATCCTATCACTTTGTATGATTTAAGTTTTCATAAATACGAAAACTGCAGTTCTTTACCGATTGGCCAGTTGGTCATAGACGTTGTGTGTAGTGACTTGTCAGTCATGATTGCATGGCTTCTATTTCATGAAGTCAAAAATTACTCAGCAAATATTTTATAAAAACAATCCTCAGAAACTAAATAATGCAATTCTCAAATGTGCTCTCCTCTCTCAGACAAATCACGTGTGTGAACTTTAAACTACATTCAGTTTTCACTGATTTTTTTTAGTTTTCAACCCACTCTGCCAACTTGCCTTCAAGTTTCTTTGCATTTTTTTCCTTTTTGATAATTATTTAGTAAAGTGTAGTAAAGATTCATTGTTTTTTCTGTTAATGATTATTACCATTTTATACAAGTCATAGTCTTGAAGTTTCAGTTACATAGCAACCATTCAGGAACTAAAACTTACAAGGCAGAGATGCTTTTATTACTGAAGTACACAGACACCGATTAATCTGTGAATACTAAAAAGGAAAAATAATTGTGTTTTTGTGATTGCCTATGATACTGTCCTGTGAATGTCTAAATATTAATTCCTTAGATTGCATTGTTTCTTGTAGTCTTATTCTTGATATTATAATAATTTTTCTTACAAAACTATAAAGATAATTTTCTTCAACTGAAATAGTTTGCTATGAAACTTATATGCAAATATATTTAAAATAAAACGTTTTTGTAGCTGTCTGAAAGTGTAACATGATGTTTACCTTTGAAGATAACAAAGTTCATGTGTCTTTAATGAGTGACAATTAAAAAGTTCGTATGTCGAACTTCCATCAGCTAAAAATAACTTGATTTCCTCTCCTAGTCTTAGTTCTTGCTACTGAAGTAACAATCTTTTCAGTAAGTTTATATATTCAAAATTGTGTAATTAAATGGTTCTTTTTTCTATTTTAGTTCCAGACAGTCTTCTCTATCGGAGAAAAGAGTCCCAGAGCCTTCCCCTGTCACAAGGAGGAAGGCATACGAGAAAGCAGAGAAACCGAAGGCGAAGGAGCAGAAGCTGTGAGTTGCTGCAGCCGGGCCGCCCGTTGCGCAGGCAGTCCGAGTCCTGCCGTTGAAGGAGCGGGGTGCAGTGAGCGTGCAGGGCCGGCCTGGCTCTGTGCTTGTGACTGAGCTGCCTTCTGTAGACAGTCACGTCAGCTGTTGGCTTGGCCTTGTCACCTTCTGACTTCCTCAGTCACTCACAGATTAGAGAAGAGCTGACCCCTTAGTCCCAGTCCCGGCCCACGGAGACTTTTCCATTCTGTGTGTGTCACTGAGAGGGTTAATATACAATTGCAGTGAGGCTTGCTCAATCTAGACTTCAAATGGTCTTCCGTGGAGACTTGACATTCTTTAACATTAATTTGAAATGAATCAGTGTCATCTGATAAGACTGACATTGACTTCAGCCCCTAGAGTGACTGGTAAAGTGCCCGTAGGGATCTCAGGTGTGCGAGTTGGGCCATTTTCTTGCTGTTCTCCTCACTTGCTCCATCTGCACGTTTTGTGAGGGGCAGCTGACCACGCAGCAGCTCCTGTAACCCAGTGGTGCACGCAGCTCCGGGCACTTAACTTGCCTACCCCGCTGCCCCGCTCCTGCACCAGCGGTCAAGTGGGTTAGAGCTCCTTCCTTACTCCCTTCCACCCACCGTGGGCCTGGGCCAGGCCTGTCTCATGCCCCAGCACACGGTGGTCAAGCGGGTTAGGGCTCCTTCCTTCCTCCCTTCCACCCACCGTGGGCCTGTCTCATGCCTGTGCCTGACTTCCATACCAGGCCACATCCAAAGACTGGTAAAGGGAAGCTTTTCAACATCAGTGTCAAAACATGTGTCAGTGTGTCGTCTGCCCTCAGTGACAGTCGTACCCTGTCTCTTCCTGGCTGGGAGGTGAGCTGATTCGAGTTCATAGAAGTGGACTTTTCCAGTGTCCTTGCTTTTTGGGTTTGAAGATGTGATTTGCCTGTTTGGGTTGAATCTAATGTCTCGAGGGCACTTAGAAAATAGAGGAGGGAAAAAAAAATCAAGGCCGGGAGGAGGCAGCCAAACAGACGAATCTCCATTAAGCTCACTGCGGTTACTTGTTTGTGTGTAAAAGGAGCAACTTGGCCTCAACTCTGAGATTTGTAGTTAGCAGTTTGTGTTGGATTTCAGGGGGCAGAATCCTCTCCTGAGTGCCCTCCTGTGGCCACCGTAACAGCAGCTGGTAGGGAAGATTGTTTAACCTCTTCCGAGAGCACTGTATTTTACAAAAGGAAAAAGAGGAAAGGAACGAAGAAAAGGGAAGGGTCAGAAGGAAGGAAGGAGGGAAGGAAGGAAGGAAGGAAGGAAGGAAGGAAGGAGGGAAGGAAGGAAGGAAGGAAGGAAGGAAGGAAGGAAGGAAGGAAGGAAGGGAAAAAGGAGGTCTCCAATGAAAAGCTTTTGCGAAGCGCATGTTTCCCGTAGTGTCCCTAACAACTTTAACTGCTGCAAGTTGCCCCACTTACTATTCTTTTTCTCTTGTAGCTCAGATTCTGGAACTTCCGAGGCTAGCCTTTCACCTCCTTCCTCCCCACCAAGCCGGCCCCGTAACGAGCTGAATGTTTTTAATCGTCTTACTGTTTCTCAGGGAAACACAGCAGTTCAGCAGGATAAGTAAGTCACTGTGGAATGAACCGACCATGTACCCCACATTCTGACCCTTCTGGGACAATTAGCCACGTCCCGCCTCTGTGTGGGAAATGAGCTGTCTGATTTGTCAACTCTTGCCATGTCTTACGTATTTGTCCAATGGAAAGCCATCTTGGAGCCCAAATTAGAGAACATTATTCTCCTGCTGAACATCATTCCCTGCTGTAGATTCGCACTGCTCCACCTTCTGCACCTGTCTTGCCTTTTCTTGCACATGTCTGTTACAAGTGCAGACTCTTTGAGACTGCTAAATATCTAGTGATGCTTGGGCCAGTGCAAGCCTCCGATCCGGGTGGCCTGAGTCGAGAAGAGACAGATTGTTCTTCTTGTCATGGATCAAACAAGGGTGATCGTTACATGGGTCACATGTTATTGTCATTGGGTGGTTCTGGAGAAACCCAACGACAAAACAGCAGTCATGCGTGCTTGGAAGGAAATGCTTATGGGTGGAGGGAGGATCTGGAGTGAGTTGGAGGGGAACAGAGGTTAGAGAGATGGGGAAAGCGTAAGGTCAAGTCAAAAAAAAAAAAAAAAAACCCACATTGAGCCAGAATCTCTTCTGCAAGAATTCTGTACTAACAATACTGCCTCAAGGTGATTTGCTAACACAGACTTGTCTGCTTGGGTCTGGAGCATCAACACTGCAGATGAAGTGCTTGCTTGCTTGCCTGGCATCCCCACCTCCCAGGTTGGTTCTCTGCATACACCAGTGGCTCTGGAAGTGACGGGCTGCTGTCCAAGAGCTGTTGGCGTTTCAGAGGGTGCTCTGTGGCTCTGTCAGTTTGCAAACACACACCGTGATTTTGCAAGAATGTTTAGTCTGCTTCGTTAGCAATTCCCTAGTAGGCTTTCACGTAGTTTCCTTGAAATCAACTTAGAGAGGTAAATATTTGTGTTCTTAAACAAATGCAATCTTAAATATTGTAATTTCTTTCATCCGTTGAGAAAAGTAGCACATTAGGGACGCCTTTGGAGATGTCCTTGGGACGTGACGTAAGGAATTGCTAGGTTTTCGTTTGCAGTGGGCTACGTTCTGTCTGTCCTGATAACCTTGATATCTGATGATAGTTCTGTGTTCTTTGCTGAAATATTTTATGAATTCCCGATAACTCAACACTGGTGTCATCTCTGAGCAGCTGAAATGTGGAGTAGCTGGTTGCCCTTGGAGTAGCTGGTTGCCCTTGGAGTAGCTGGATGTCCTGCATTTCAGAACCTGCCCTGTCATGCTCTAGGACCACCTTTTGAGATCACCGTGCTTTGTTCATCTGATGTGACCGTCACCCACAATTCCTGGTCACGTTCTGGTCCAGCACACCCTTCCTCATTCTCCTGGAGTTTTCACTGCAGCCACACTTACTGCCAGTGTCAGGGGCCGCAGAACAAGACAAGCAGCTTATTACCTGCTTTTAAATTCCACTGAAACCCCCCTAACCTCAGACTACCCCCAAAAAACTCCATGGAAAGGTATTTAAAAGATATGTGTAGTTTAGTACACAATATTTTTTTAATCCTTGCTTTTTTTTTTCCCTATTAGCCCTTACTTTTCATGAGCTAGTTGAAGAGCCTTGTGTGGCTAAGGCATTCCTTAGTCAAAACAACTTTGAGTTTTTGACATAAGCTAAAACCCAAGGGTTATTAGAAATTTGATTTTCTTTTCATACAAGCCTATTGTTTGTGCAACATCCACATTAGAGTTTAGGTCTCAGGGATAGCTCTTGCGGTGAATAACATCCATTGATAGTTACTGGAATTCTAGTACTGGTCAAACTGATAAGGACGTGTGTTCTTGTGGTTAGCTTAGAAACAGATCCCTAGTCGACAGTCCCGCCTCCCCACCAGGGTCTTACTAGGAAGTAATAGAACCATTTTTTCTTAAAAAACCTGGCTAGAGCTGATCTGTGGGACAAATAGAAAAGCAACGCACAATTAAGTGAATGTTTGCTATGTGTTCTCTTATTCGTCTGCTGATTTTCAGTCTGAAGTCACTGTCATTGCCTGTGGACACCTGTATTCTTCCTGTTCTTAATTCTAACTCTTTCACTGTAGGTCTGATGAAAGTGACTCCTCTCTGTCCGAAGTACACAGGTACTTTCTTGCTACCTTTCCGACATTCTGCATTTTGTGAATGTTCTGAAATGCTTTCCTAGCAAATCTAAGCAAGTTTCAGTTGTCTTGCATGCCTGGTTTGTTATAAGCTGTGTAAATGTACTAATATTTAAGAAGACTTACTTATTTTAGTGTTTCTTTTATGATCATACCTTGCAGATAAATAGTGGGAGAATTTTTTTATATGATACCTTTAAAATGTGGTGTGTTTGCTTTCTATGTTTAATGTTTTCTTTATAAGAAACTGAGTCTTACAAATGTTGGTTCCAAGAAAATTGGCCTCTCAGTGATTAAATATTTCCATGATTTCAAAGTGTAAGAGGTAGATAATTTTCTCTTGGGTTAGTGATTTGAAATTTTTAAAAAATATGTCATAAAGAAGATGCGCTAGGGAAAAAAAGGGCACGATTGTACCACTCAAATTAGAACAAGAAATAGAAAGTAAAGAAACCTTTAAAATTATGCATATTTTTACTGATGCAGTTTTTAAAAGATAACAGCGTTCTGTGTTTTTCAAGCCCTGGGTTTGGGGAGGCCCTTAATTTCTGTCTCTCTCACTCGCTCTCCCTGCTTCTCATTTTGTCTCTTGCTCTCCGTGTGTGTCTTTCCCTTCTTTTGTGACCACTTTGCTGAGCTCAGCAGATCCTCCAGAAGGTAGGCACAGGAGTGGGGGGAGGGGATTGGTCTCAGTCAGACTGGTGATCCTGGACTAGCTTGCATGGAACAAAAAGAAGTGTGGGTTCCCTACCCCATCTGGTCTGCTGTGCTTCTAAAGCTTTTTTTTAAAGAAGTATTTACTTAAGGTATGAATGGATTAAGTGTAATAGAGAAAGAAATGTTATGAGTGTATGCTTCCAATATCTGTATCTTTCTACTATCATTGTTGTAAGGTAATCTATATAAAATTATAATTCTAATAATATGAATGAGAACATTTTAAGTATGTAAGTAGTAGAATATTCGATTTAATATGGAGAAAACTAGACGACAGTTCAAGGTTATTGAAACTCCTAAGGATAAAGAAAAGGCATGCTACTGTCTAGAGGATAACTGTCACACACAGATGTCTGGAGGCAGATGGGGTACCTTACCAATGTGACAGGCCTCGGCACGGGTGAATTGTGCTCTTACATCCACGGGGGTGGGGAGCATTTGATACACTCAGCATAAAGCTGATGACCCATCCAAAGAAAATCTTTTGGAGACCCAGAATGACAGATCTGAAAAGACTGGGCAGCTGTTTGTTTTTTAAAGATGGTTTGTATCTTAAATATCCATCAGAAGCAGTTCTTCTGCTGTTACAACCATTTCCCCCTTTTTATAACAGGCCTTTTGGGGTATGTCCGTGTATCCGTTTTTCTGTTTGAAGAGAGACAACGACACTACTGTCAATAAGAACCTTCTCCGCCTGAAGCAGTATTTGCAATGTGGCGGCTGCAGCTCCTCAGGGTGGATCATCCATCTCCAGGGTCAGAAAAGCAGATTCAGACTTTTGGGGGATGTTGCTCCCAGTTAAGCTTCAATCTGGTTAAACTGTCAGTTTATAAACAGTGTCCTCATCTTAGATTTCAGGAACCTCCGGTTGACAGATATATACTAATACTGACAGCGCAGTTGTGCAAGAGATCCTTGAGATTAGATACTCCCTTCACTATTGCAGTCACCAGTATCAGACCCTACATAGAAAGGTTTCTCTTTTTTTTTTTTGAGCCTAAATGTACCTTCCTGAAATTTCTGTTCATTAGTTTTTCCATTAGCCCTTTTTGGATATACCAGCTTTAACCATATACCTTGTATTGTCTGTCATGCGACCATCCTTTTACTGTGCTGATGTATCCTTTCTGCAGTGGATTTTTTTAATCAGCTCAGTAGTTTTAGTTTATTGTACTTTCCTTAGAGTCTACAGATCCCTAATTTTGCTTCTACTGTTTTGGAAAAGCTCTAGTTTTTCAATGTTCTTGAAGTGTGGCCTGTGGAACTAAAATCCTTTGCAAATGAGGCCTACACAGTGGAGAGCAGGTCTGCCTCCTGCAAAGCTGCTTCTGTTGACCAAGTCATCAGTAGTGTTCGTGGAGGAACCATCAACGGTTGGTCCACTGATCTCATTTTCGGTAACACGATCCATCAGTTCAGTAAACTTGGCTTCTGTTGAGTTTGTTTTCTACCAAGAGCATTCTGTTTTTTGAATCTGGCTTAGATTTAAATTTAAATTTAGACTGATGATTATTTGTAGTGGTAAGTACGTGAAACAAGTGAATATTTCTGGATAGTATGATCCAGTGTTCAGCTCTTTTGGGCAATGCACTGAGTCAGCTTTGCAAGGGAAAGAGTGATCAGACACTGTGGACGGTCCTAACTGGCGGAGAGGCCTGGGGCCTTTCGCCGTGACTCTCGTCACTTACGGAGCCACGTCGGTTCCTGACTTTCCCATTTAGCTCTGGACTTACATCTGAAAGCTTGCAGTATTGGCTTTGGTGGAAGGAACATCTTTCAGATAGGACACACCTTACCCCACTTGCCTGCCTGTGGCCTCTGCGGAGAACTTTCCCTGTGCCATCGATAAGCTCACGAGGCTTCTGCAGCAGCATCGTTTATTTCCAAGTGTTTATGGTGGGTTTCTGACTTCCTCCCCTGTGACGTAGGAAGCTCACATTTCCTCCTGCTTTTTGAACAGTCTGCTCTGTAGGTTTTGTTCCCACTGTCAAGCCTGATGATTTCTTACAGCGCCAGCAAGGAATTTTCCTCTACCGAGGCACACGCTTCCAAAACCTTATGATAATAATAATTAAAAAAAAAAAAGACCCAAGTGCTTGAAGTCAAGGAGTAAGTCTTCGTGTTCAGCTCCAGCTTAACTTGGACCACATTTCTGTTTAATTATTTCTGCTCCTTGCTGTGGAAGATTGTTGTTTCTTGTCAAGAAGATGCAAATGAAACTGTTTTGTACTATCCTTAAGTTTGCTCTCGTGTTCTGCCACCTGTCTCGTAATGGACACATCTTAATATGGTTTTTCTTTCTGCTTTGTGTTAAAAAGATATATTTGGCCGTTATCATATCGTAATCCATTCTTACCTGTAGCTTTTCCAACACATTTTTTTTTTTTGTCAATTTAGATCCTTTAATATAAGGGTAATGCTTTAATATTCTTTAAAGTTCCAAAATGCGTGGTCAAGTAGTGTAATGCAGAAACTTCTTGAATACTCAATTTCAGAGAGCTCTCTAAAGTGTTTCACTGCTGTTTCAAATTCTCATTGTTTTTTTAGATGTTCCTAAATTTTCTTGAAGTTTTTAGACCTTGAGCAATTCCCCCTTTAAAATTTCTATTGACGCTATCACTCCTGTCTTTACTTCTCGTTTGGAAAGTGTGTTTGCAGCATTGGGAGTGTATGTTCTGCTTCCCCCAGCACGCGTCCTCTGACCTGGAATCACGCTCTGGTGTGACCCCTGAACCGCGTCTCGCGCTCACTGGTTGCTGTTTCTCCCGTTTGTCAGCATTCAGGACACTGGCCCAGCTCCCACTACGGCTGCATTAAACTGTGGAGCAATGGGATTGCTCCTGAGAAAATAAACCTGATCCGAGGCTTTGCTCTTTGGGGGTTGCTGAGCTGGCAGATGTCTGATGCATGCCTCCAGCATCCTAATTAGTGTTCACACTTTATCCTTTTGCTTAAAAAAGAGGCAAACGGGCTGTCAATCTTATCACTAATTACTTACAAAGATTTCTTAAGGTCAGGGAATAGAATTAACTTGGTCTTGGTATATTGTTAATCCAAGTGGATCTTCATTTTTTTTTCTCTTCCCTTTTTCACTTCAGGGGCATAATTAACCCATTTCCCGCCTCGAAAGGAGTCCGTGCCTCCGCCCTGCAGTGTGTCCACATTGCTGAAGGGCACACGAAGGCTGTGCTGTGTGTGGACGCCACTGATGACCTTCTGTTCACTGGATCCAAAGGTGCCACTCGTTCCTCCTGCAGATAGCTTTCAACAGGCCCTGAGAAATGTATACTGTTTGTGCCCAGTATAGGAAGCTGATCGTCTGGTTTACCCTCTGAAGTATATAAAATTTTAAAATCATTGCATAATTAGAAAGAAAGTAAAACTTCTTTCAGTGTTTTGTGAATGCAGTGGTGAGAGAACACACCTCCCTTCAGTTCTTGGGCGCCCATTGGGTGCCAGGTCCTGGATTGTGTACTGCAGCTTATGCATATGCAAATTTCTAAAAGGCCAGTGGAATGTCCACTGTGGTAAAGAGTGAGGTGGATGGTAACCAGTGTCAGACTGTGGCAGGCACTGTACAGATATATCTCCTTTGTTTTTCACAGTGATTCCAGTGACTTGCGTATTACATCCTCATTTTAAAGGTGAACAAGCTCAAGCTCGAAGAATTAGTATTAGAAACCCAAGTTTTCCCATGTGCAGCCTAACACTCCTAATCCCTTGGTACAGTTCCGAGCAAGTTGGGACTTTGATGTGGAGAATAATAGCAAGCAATTCAATTGAAAAACAATCTGCTTCAAACTTTCGTAATGATTGAGATTAAATTTATTTCTTCAGGATGATTAGATATTCAACATGCTACAAAAACACATAATAGAGGCATTTTGTGGTTGTGTTTTTGTTCAAAGATGAAAACACGGTCCGTCAGACCCTGGAGCAGAAGGGTCGTGAGCGTGGAGGGTTGTAAGGAGGATAGAGGAGCCGCACCGGTGGTCTACAGAGGCTAACGTGGGATGCCCACTTCACGTTCAAGGCACTGGGATTCAAGAGTCTTTAATAACACAGTTGAAAATGTCACCCCATTGTCAGTTTCATGCCATGAAATAAATGCACGTAATATCCCTTGATTTTCTTCTCATCTTTACGTGCACCGTGCCCTTGAGTGTGCTTCAAGGGTCAAGGATAAAGTTGGGTGCCTGTTGTTGGTTAACTAGATCCTGATTATTTTCATTTTCTTCCCTGGATAAGTACGTTGTTTAAATAATTTTTATTGCTAAGACAACCTAATCGCAGTCTTTCCTGTGTCTTTGTTTTAGATCGGACTTGTAAAGTGTGGAATCTAGTGACCGGACAGGAGATAATGTCCCTGGCAGGCCATCCCAACAATGTCATCTCTGTAAAGTACTGTAATTACACCAGTCTGGTCTTCACTGTGTCAACATCTTATATTAAGGTGTGGGATATCAGAGACTCAGCAAAGTGCATCCGGACGCTGACGTGAGTAACTCAGCACGATGAGCAAGTGGCTGCATGCCGCTGAAACGGCCCCCATGTTTTTCATCAACAAAGGCAGTTACTTACACGGGGTGGCCATTTGGCTAGAAGTTAGGACACCTGCATGCCCTGTGGGAGGCCGTGACTCCATCTTCCAGCCAGCACATGTCCTGGGAGTCAGCCCTGACAGACCAAGCAGGTGATTCCTTGACACCCATATGGGAAGCCTTGATCAAGTTCCCTGTCCCAGCTTCAGTCTGGCCCAACCATGAATGTTGTAGCCATTTGGGGAGTGAAGCAGTACATGGGAGCTCTTTCTTTTACTTTCACATAAATCAATAAATGATGATTTTTTTTTTCAAGGCTGTTTTTATTCATAAAAGGAATATTGGTAAGCATGACTGCAGGGGACTTCTGGACGAGCAGGAGAGCCAGCAGCAGATATATGTTACTTTCCCAGTTTGTCTCTGTGCCATTGAATCTTCTGTGAATGCTGTGTTGGTCACCCCTAGCTCACAGACTGGAATTTCTAACATTGTAGTTGGTGTTCACAGAAAGATTGTTAAGACATACCACCAGTCCTGTCCATTTGTAAGTTCACTTACTCACCCAACACGGGTTCATGCATGCCAACCCTGTGTTGGTATTGTGTGCTGTGCCTACAGTGACAGATGTGGTTCCAGTTGTTCCCCACAGCCAGTCTCCTAGGAATTGAGTGAATTCCTGACTGAGCTCATGCCTGCTCTTGCTTGACTTGTGTTGCTGTGTTCTGTGTCTGAAGGTCTTCCGGTCAAGTGACCCTCGGGGATGCTTGTTCAGCCAGTACCAGCCGGACCGTCGCGATCCCTTCTGGAGAGAACCAGATCAACCAGATCGCGCTGAACCCCACTGGCACCTTCCTCTACGCAGCTTCCGGAAACGCCGTCAGAATGTGGGATCTTAAAAGGTAGAACAGCCAAGAAGATGTTGTCTTGCCTAGGGCAGGTTTGATGTCATTCTTACTCGTGTACTCATGACCTCATGCGTGTGACAGCCCAGAAGTTATTGGAGAATCATACCTTGAGTCTGATTGATGGGATGGAACACCTGTTTCCTGATGCATGTGTGTACAGTTGTACATGTGTGTATGAGACACATGCGTAGGTGTGAAAAATGTGTGTAATAAATAATCTTACTTTGTCCGTATGTTTGTTGATTTTATAAATACTTCAGTGGAATAGTTGTTTAACTCGAATTCCAAATTGAGCCTGGTAGCATCAGCTGTATGTCTGTGATGTGTTCACACATTGAATAGGTTGAAACCTCCCTGTACTTATGTGGAAGTTACAGTCAGCCTGCATCAGTTTCTCAGCCCTTTGCTGTTTTGTTTACTACCCAAATGGCATCAGTCAGCTTGGGAAGCGTTCAGTGAGGACTCAGTGCCAATTTCCATCATCGCATGTATTCGTTTAACTGTTCTTTGATTTTAATTTGAATGGAGTTTCATAGTCGTGGAGCTCCAATGAAAAAAGAAGTGAATGATTTTAAGAAGGACTCTGTAGTCCTTATGCTGGGATTGTGTCAGCTATGCTTAGAAACAGTTTCAACCAAATTAATTTTTTTTCTTCCAATTTGAAGGTTTCAGTCCACGGGAAAGTTAACGGGACATCTGGGCCCTGTTATGTGCTTGACTGTTGATCAGATCTCCAATGGGCAAGATCTCATCATCACTGGATCCAAGGACCATTACATTAAAGTATGTAAAACAGAACATTAACCTCTGTTTACCTGGTAAACAATAGGTTGAAAGTGCCAAGGCTCGTCTGGACCTTTCTCTTCATCCGTTTTTGTTTGTTTGTTTTATGTGGTCTAGGCTTTGTCGGTTCTTCCTAATTTTTTCTTCATTTATCATAGCTGAATTTATTGTCATTCTGTCAAGAATTTTCATTTTTTTCTAGGAAGTAGGCTGCAAGGCATCCTAAAGGACTTTTAACTTTGTCTTCCAACCTGTCCTCATTCCTCTATCTTTTCTGCCGAAGATATTTAAGATCTTCAGAATTTTGTGAAATTAGCAGCTAGTTTGAGGAAAGATGCTGCTTCATCCCCCGTGTTGTCCATGTCAGGTTAACTTGGTGAGGTACTTGGTACAGCAGGTTAAGTCGCTGCTTTTTACACTGGCCTCCCACCTTGGAATCCAAGGTAGAGCCCTTGCAGTTTTGCTTCTGATCCAGCTGTGTGCAGCTGGGAGAGTACCAGGACTTGGGCCTTTGCCACTCCAGTGGGAAACTCTGATGGAATTCATGGGTTACTCTGACCTGCCTGAGTGTTGCAGTGTGTTTGGGAAATCAGCCAGTGAATAGAAGGTCTCTCCCTGTCTCTTCCTTTCTTTGTCACTTTGCCTTTCAAGTAAATAAAATCTTAACAAAACATGCCTAATATAAACACCAAAAAGAAGTCCCGTTGGATTCCCACATGGCTGTCTCCGTGTATCCCTGACTGTGCACATGTAGGCTCTTGTTTGTAACTGAAGTTACAAACTTCAGAGTTTGCTTTCTGCTGTTTCAGATGTTCGATGTAACCGAAGGCGCTCTGGGCACTGTGAGTCCCACTCACAATTTTGAGCCGCCTCATTACGACGGCATCGAAGCGCTCACCATTCAAGGCGACAACCTCTTCAGCGGGTCCAGAGACAATGGGATCAAGAAGTGGGACTTGGCCCAGAAAGACCTTCTGCAGGTAAGACACACCTCCTCCTGGTGGGCAGCAGGCGTTTCACCACCGCTCAGTACCTCTGGGGCAGGACTGAACGAGCTTTTGTGTATCTTTTCGTTTTGAAAGATAGTTTAAGGACTGTTTCATTATCAAGTGCCCCGTCACTAACAGTCAGGTTTTGATAAAAACACCCACAAGCTCAGAGCAGAATAGACGCTGATAAGAACTGAAGCATCGAGATTCTCATACACGGTTTAAATGAAATCAGCCTTGTTGTACAGATCAGTTGCAGTTTCTGCCTTCTGTATATACCAATGCAAAGTGCACCGCGTCTGGCTGAAGTCAGGAGTACAAGAGGAGGTCGTGCACCTCAAGGAGCACGTTCCTGCAGAAGGCCATGGAAGAGGTGTGTGTGTAAACTCAAATACTGGTGCTTTCTCCTTACCAGGGGCAGAACTCATGAATAGATGAAAACGTCGTCAGTTGCAACCTTTCTCTTACGAGTGTATGCCCAGGCACACATTTGCATGCCTTGCATACATCCAGCAAATGAAAAACAAATGAACAGGAAGCATGGATGTTAGTGGAAAGATCCTGCCAACGGCGGCATGCGGCTGCATTCTGCTTCTGTTTCGTACACATGCGTTCATGGTTTTGATTTTATATTGAGCATATGATTATCTTCATAAAATATAGCTCTGTATTCAGATCCAATGAATGTTCACCCTGAAATATAAAGATTGCCTCTGATCTTCCGACAAAAAAATGCACAGATCTAAAACGGCTCAAGCGAGTGGTTCAAGTTCATGCTTTAAGAAGTGGGATTTCTACCTTTTGTTGTAGCTTGTAGTTCCCACATGTGTTTAGCTGAATGCTTCCTGCTCAATGGAGAGAGATTCTGCAGGATGGTTTGCTATTTGCTGTCAGAAAAGAAGCTGCGAAGTGTGAAGATTCCGTGAACTTTGTTAGATTCTGCAGCTCAGTAACGTGACAGGCCTTCAGGACTGAGAGCAGCGGCCAAAGTAGGCAGCTTGCAGAGCTAAGCATAGATTTCTTTGTTCAAGTCGTTGAATGATTGCATAGAAAATGAAGTTCCACAACCTTTAGGCCATTCGTTGTTCAAATTTTTGAGCTTTATCAATGAAGATGTTTGTAAGATGTCAGGTTAGAAAGCCTCATTTCAGCAGTGGCTTCTCTTTTTTCTTCCAGCAAGTTCCAAATGCACACAAGGACTGGGTCTGTGCACTGGGCATGGTGCCCGGCCACCCGGTTCTGCTCAGCGGCTGCAGAGGGGGTGTGCTGAAGCTGTGGAACGTGGACACGTTTGCGCCTGTGGCCGAGATGAAGGGGCATGACAGCCCCATCAATGCCATCTGTGTTAACTCAACCCATGTCTTCACGGCGGCTGAGTACGTGTTTCCTGTGCAAGTGTTCTCTGCGTTGCTTGCCTGTGTTCAGGTTTAACAGATATTGTTAAGCTGTCTACACTGAGAAAAACTTAAGGCATTGCAGATTCTTGTGTTCTTGTGGTCACTTGCATGTCTGCTTTGTGATGCTTACTATGAGTGGTGGCTTTAAGCCCCTAGGTTTCATGGCTTGCCATGGAGCGTCTGCTGCCAAGTGTTTGGATAATGAATTTAATTTCTTTTAGATGATTTTGTTTATTTTTATTGGAAATTCTGACTTACAGAGAGAATGAGAAATAGAAAGAGCTTCCATCTGCTGGTTCACTCCCCAAATGACCGCAACAGCTGGAGCTGAGCCAATCCAAAGTCAGGAGCCAAGAGCTTCTTCATGGTCTCCCATGCAGCTGCAGGGTCCCAAGGCCTTGGGTGGTGCTCTACTGCTTTCCTAGGCCACAAGCGGGGAGCTGGGAGAGAAGTGGAGCAGCTGGCATACAGACCGGTGCCTATATGCGATTCTGGTGCATGCAAGGCGAGGACTTTAACCAATAGGCTGCCATGCCAGGCCCAATGATTTTTTAACTTTTAAAATGGAATTCATACATGGATAATTTCTGAAGTTATTTCTTTTAGAAAGATAACAAGCTTGCCATTCTTCATATTTGTAACAAATTGTTAAAAATGCAAACAACAAGCTTAATTAAGGTTGCACGCTGTTGTACAGTGGGTTAAACCACCATTTGTGATACTGGCATCCAAAATCAGTGTGCAGAGTTCCAGTCTGAGCTCAGCTGCTCTGCTTCTAATCCAAGTCCCTGTTACCATGCCTGGGAGCCAGCAGGCAGTGGCCCTGGTACCCATTTGCGAGAGCCAGCTGGAGTTCCTGGGTTCTGGCCTCAACCTGGTCAAGCAGTGTCCGTTACAAACACTGGGGGGGAGTGATCCAGTGAGTGGAAGATTGATCCATTTCACTTCCTCTCTGTCTCATTCTCTTCTCTTTATCCTTCTGTTCTCTCTCCTGCTTTGCCTCTCTGCTTCTCTCTCTGCCGCTCAAATGAATGAATACATGTAAAAAGAAAAAAGAAGTCTCCTTTTCACGCTCTCTTCTAAGCCCACGTATCTACTCATCCCGTTAGCTTCCCTCCATGCAGTGAGGACTGACTCATTTGCTTTGCTGTTTTTCTTTCACAATGAATCTTCCACGTGCTCGGCACCATTCCAGCCTCTTGGAAATACAGCCGTGAATAAGAGAGCCAAACCCTAGTCTTCAGTCGAATGAGTTCAGTATGTTATGTGGCGACAGGTACAATGGAGGGAAAGAAACAGGGCAGAATGGGAGGGGACGTTGATATATTAGGGTGGCCAGGCAAGGCCTCCACGGGAAAGTGGCCTTCAAGAAGGGATTGAAGTGGTGACCGTAACAATGACATGGTACGATGTAAGTACCTTGGAAAGAACAACGCATTCATTTTAATGTGAGGCATTGGTCTTGTTCAGGTAAAATGTAATTTGTAGCTTTAAAGATCTGCATGTTTCATTTGTGAACCTGTTATGTTACTTAATTTAATTTAAGGAGCACTTCAATTCCATCTGTCTCAAGCACATGAATATCCTGATTTAATTTTGAAGTCTAGTTTTTTGTGTCTTTACGTTGTTGCCTTTAAATCTTCATTTTCATTAGGTGTTGTATGTTTCTAAGGTACGTCAAGGCCAATTTATTTTGTTTTTCTGAGACGTTTACCTTTAGTGCCTTATTAGTGGTATTTTTAGAAAGGTTTATTTGAAATGTAGAGTTAGGGAGAGAGAGAGAGAGACAGAGAGATCTGCTGAGTCACCCTCCAAGGCTGCAATGGCCAGGGTTGAGTCCCCTGCAAGGTCCTGGGAAACAGCGCAGGATCACCCAGGTATGTGGGCCCCTGCACCTACATGAAAAACCTTTACGAAGCTCCTTGCCCCTGGGTTCAGAGCCGCCCATTTCTGACCTGTGCTTCTGTCTGGGAGTGAAGCATTAGGTGGTATAGCTCAGTCTTTCTTTCCCTCTCTATAACTCTGCCTTTCAAATAAAGAAGTCTTTTATTATTGTTGTTATTATTTTAATCTCGAGTGTTTAGAAGAGTGTGTGGCACACAGCAGACGGTCAGCATGTGTCGAGCACGTGAGTGACTCTGGGGGCTCTGAAGGGTGGAGGACTTCGCACGCCTGCTGTGAACATGTGTGTGCTGTTTTGGGGAGCTGAGCAGGTGGCTGATCCATCGCAAGGCACGCATTCCAGTAAGCTCTGCTCTGCTGCCATGGGCACCAAGCCCTCCTCCCTGGAGGATGAGTGTGTTCTGTGCAAGGTGGTGTTTGTCAATAGCCTCCTGCTTTCCTGTGCATTTATCTGCAGATTACCCAAGGATGGTGGTTCCTGACAGTTGTCTGTTTCACCAATTCCCTGGCAACTGTGCCCTAGTCCCCAACCTGCCGAGAGGCCTCACTGTGCGCTCTTGGGCCTGAAAATGTCTGGCCCTGTGCCCGTTGTCTAGGTTTTCCGAAACAGTCCAGGTCCAGAGATGAGAGAGGATGGTCTGAGGCCTCCTCTGCCCAGGTTCCGATCTGGTCTCAGTCACGGACTTTCTGACTCGACCTCAGTTTGCTCCTAGCTGGTACCCATGTCTGTAGTGGCAGTTGACGCGGGGAAGGTGCTTGCTAGTGTTGACAGCTGAGTCCCATTGTCTGTTCCTGTAAAACTGATAGCGAGAGGGCATCCTTGCTGTGATGATGGGTGGGAGACGAGGGGCGTCCTTGCTGTGATGGGCGGGTGACGAGGGGCATCCTTGCTGTGATGATGGGCAGGTGACGAGGGACGTCCTTGCTGTGATGATGGGCGGGAGACGAGGGGCGTCCTTGCTGTGATGGGCAGGCACCCCCTCCTCTTAGGACATCTGTGTGTGTACTTGCCTCATCTAAAGGCTGATTTAGAACGTGCTTCAGTGACAGGTCATCCCAGGACGGGTGTCCTTGCCTTCTGCCTCTGCTCACATGCCCCTTTTAACCTTCTGTTTTCTAGTGATCGAACCGTGAGACTTTGGAAGGCTCGCAGTTTGCAAGATGGCCAAATTTCTGACACAGGAGACCTGGGAGAAGATATTGCCAGTAATTAAACGTGAATGAAGATAAGTCATAAGCTGAATACTGTGACACATTATCTATGTTGTTTGTGGAAATTCTGTCCTGTATTTATTAGGCAAAAAACTTATGAGTGGGATTAACTGGAAAATGTATCTGGCTCCAGCTGCTGAGTAGGAATGGTATTCTAATAAAACCGTCTGCCATCCTGTGTATTCAATGTCAGTATCTAGCAGTACGTATGTATCCTACAGTTGGTGTTCTGCTTGATTTGCACTTCTATTGTGGCTGGATTTTTGTGCCTAGCTATATATATATAAAATCTCCCAAGTTATCTGAATTCTAAAGACGCTGCGTTTGTGATGATCAGAAAATGCACCTGGGATACAGCCCAGCCCCCGGCCTTGCGTTCTGCAGCCTGCCCGTGATTGACATGGTAAACCCCCTGGAGACGTTAGCCACACGGCCATCTGCTCGTCAGCCACTGAGAGCAGTTCAGACAAGGTTCCCAAATTTCGAAGCTGCTTCACGTCCTGGTAAAGAAGACAATAAGGGGCGTATGACCGATGCTTTTCTGTAAAGAGGCATTGATCTTGAACTACTAAGGAAGACTGTCTCTTGGTCTCCGTGTTCAGTGTTGGCCTTGTATTGACCAAAGCTTTGCACCTCTGCTGTCTGTCTGCTGTGCTCAGGACTCTGACACGCTCACACGGTTGTTTGGGTAGTGCTGTGTGTGTGTTCTGTGATGGGAAGCTTTCTGATGTCCTAACAGAAATATATTTTGATCTATTTTCCTATGGAGTTGTTTCTATTATCACTTCTTCATTTTTTTTTTATTTAATGGTAGTATTTCTTCCCTCATTACCTAATTTTTTATATGCTGCTAAATATATTTTCAAACACACTATGTCTGCAGACCGTGGTAGCTGTGATGAATATTATTACGAGTGGTGAGAGAAGCTTTGTACATAGGTGCGTTGTAAAGAGAGATTCCTGTGTTTTGCCTGTATGAATTTTTTAGTGCTGTAGATTGCGTTTTGCAAAGGGATATATAATTTTCTGTCTGCTGAGAGTATTAATTTGTAAATTCTGCCAGTTTAATTTTTAATGTAGCAGGTATAACATTTGAACATATTGTCTTATTCATTTTTCCCCTGAATATATACGCGTGTAAATGAAGGCTTAGCTAGTGCTTAAATAAACGTGTTGCCATGAATTAGTTCCACTCTGTTGTTCTTTTGGTCATTGTCAGCGATGGCCGGGGCGAGGAGCCCTTGGGTGCGATCAGGGTCAGGAAGGCGGTTTCGCAGGAGCTGCTGGTCCCGTCTGTGCTCAGTAGCTGTGAAACATTCGGAAGCACGCACTGTGGAACGTTACAGTTGAAGGGAACTCAACAGAATGCTATTAAATTCAAATTTAGGGACTTGAACATAGATGGAAAAACTAATAGTAAGTGACTTCCAGAGATGTGAGGATGGCGGCGACCCTGGTTGCCTGGAGAGCAGAGAGGGCGTCATGACTGACAGATGGCAGTCCTGCTGAGCTAGGGGCACGGGGCCTGCGAGGAGCCCGGCCCTGCATGATAGCCAGGCCTTCGCTTTAGCTGGATGACTCACCCACACGCGTGTTTCTCTGTCCCTTGTTGTGGATGAATACCTGATTTCAGAGCAAAGCATTCTTATGATTTTGTTTTTGTATTTAAAAGGGAGAGAGGGGAGGAAGAGAGAGATGTGTACTGTCCACTGGTTCACTCCTCTGATAACCTACACGAACCACAGCTGAGCAGGCTGGGACCAGGAGCCCAGAGCTTGGTCCAGTTCTGCCGCATGGGTGGCAGGCACCCAAAGACTTGAGCACCCAAGGACCTGCTGTCTCTCAGAGCCAACAAAATGGGGATTTAAAACAAATTTCCTATAGATGCTAAACTCAGCTGACTTGGTCGATTTGCCTCCTTCCTCAAAGAAGGCCCCACTTAAATAACCCCTGAGGGATGAGAGTCGGGCCTGCTTCCAAATTCGGGTCTTTCAGTTGGTGTTTCATTTTGGGGGGTTGCTTTGACGGTTTCTTCAAGTGTCGGTGGGGATGACACTGGGGATGAAGAGCTGGCGGGATGCAGGGATGCTTGTCCTCATGCGCAGAGTGAGCGCCGCCCTTGTACTTGGAGAGCAGTTCCAGCCTCCCCCATGGACAAAGAGGGCATCCTCCTGGCGTAGGCCACGGCCTCCCTGGGCACATTAGAGAATTCCAGTCCCACTTGTGAATTCCGTGGGATTCAGAGCTCTGTGCCCGTGTAAACTGCAAATCCTAGCACCCATTTTATTTTTTGTTATGTTTTAAAAGATTTATTTATTCATTTGAACATTAGAGCGATGGTGAAAGAGAGAGAGATTGATTTAGTGGTTCACTCCCCAGGTGAGTTCAGAGGCCAGGGCTGCACCAGGCTGAGGCAGGAGGCCAGAAACTTCATCCAGGTCTCTCATGTGGGTGTCAATAGTCCAGGCCCTGGAGTCTGCTGCTTTCCCCATAATTAGCAAGGATCTAGACTGGAAATCAAGCAGATGGGGCCTGAACCACTGCTGGTTCAGTCTCCTGGTAGCCACATTGCGCAGGGCTGGGAGCAGGTGGAAGTCAGGAACCAGGAGCCTCATTGGGCCTATACTCTCGGGTCAGCTGCTGCTTGCTCAGGTACATTAGTCAGGAGCTGGCCAGGAAGTGGAGCCGTCAGGGCTGGAACTGGCTCCCATGTGGGAAGCTGTTGTCACAGGTGGTAGCTCAATGTGTTACACCACATCACTAACATTTGTGAACATTGTTACTATGTGTGCCCTAAACTTCATTCTCTGGCCACTCATTGTATGCCACCCCCTCCATGTAAAGTTCTTCTCCAAGGGGAACGTGTGGTTAGTGGGAAGACAAGTGGTGCAGACTGGAAAGTACTTCTGTCCTCTGGCAACGATGCACATGTCAGAACCAGTGGCAACACCTGGCCCTCCTGTTTCTGGCGCGTTCACGTTAAGCATCTCTCTAGATTAAACGAGCCTCATCTATTTCACACTTTTTTTTTGAAAAATCTCTAGCAGGGGTCTGAGACTCCAGGTCCTTGTATCATAAAGATTTTTCTGTCATCCATCGTTAATGTTCTGTGTCTGTCCCAAGCAAGGCTTAAGACGGCCCTCCCTCCCTTGATGGCTGGCTGCTTGGACCTGGAAGAATGCACCTGCAGTTCCTTACTCAGATTCCCGTTGTTTCTGCAACATGGTTATTGGCTTGTTCTGTTATTCCATACTTCATAACTGAGCTGTGAAAAAAAAAATGTGTTCTTTTGCTTCCCAGCTAGGGTGAGGGTATAATGGGATTTCTCTTGCAGCCCAGGTGTTCTGTGTAGAGAAGACCCCTCCCTTGGCTGTGAGAACACGGTTTGGTGAGTCCTGCAGAGGCGGCCGGCAGGTGGGGGTGAGAAGCAGGCCGCCATCCCTGTCACCGTGTGAACGTCACCGTACTGGCTGTCAACGCGGGATAATTACTTCTCTTCACCTTCAGGCAGAAGGCAGTTGTTGGGAAAGCATTTCTTAGAGAACAATGGGCACCTGCTGGTGTTTGGTCTCTCACTCCTTTTCACAATTAGAAAAAGGTTTAGTAGAGTTTCATTCAGTGCAGTCTCACTTAGGAGGAAATATTTGGTGCACACGCGCGTGTGATGGTCTTCCCAAGCTCCAGTCCGGGGGCATCCTCTTCCCTCAGGTGGGAGCCTCCCAAGCAGGGGTCACAGTGCCTCTCTCTTGAGCATCACGTTCTAGTTAGAAACACCTGCAGGGCAGGGTGGAGCGCAGGTTGCCCGCTCCTGCCCCGGTGTTTCCGATTGAGAAGAACACGCTCTCCTGAGTTTCTAGACACGAGCTCCCCCGCTCCCACGTTGAAAGCCCTGAGGCTCAGCTGCTCCTGCTCCCTTCGGATGGATCAGGAGCCACGTCCGGTAACAGAGCTGAAAACCCATGCAAGCCCAGCATTCTGTAGGCGGTGGCTGTGGGACCCCTTACCAGTTCTGAATCCCATGGCACCTCACGTGGAACCGAGCTGGCAAGCGTGCAGCCCCCGCCGGGATCACAGAGGCAGGAATTCAGTTCAAAAACAGTCTGGACTGCAGTCTTCTTGCCAGCCCTTGAACTCTCACTGACTCTGTGCTAACTAAGAATCTCGCCCGGCTGTGTCCTGCCTGAAAGACTGCCTCTACGAAACGGGGAGTGTGGTGAGTAGCTGCTCTCTCTCAAAAGAATTTGGGGTGAAAACCCTTGACAGCCTTCCTTCTGGTTTGCTGTCAAGGGAACAGAAACTAGAGGGGGTTCTCTCTGAGTGTTGCCTGCGTGTCAGTGAAGAGAGGCTGGAGTGAGGAATGAGAAAGGGGAGGAGGAGGCCCAGCGCTGTTGAGTGCTGTGGAGGGGGGAGGCCTAGTTACCAGCAATCACCGAGTTGAGGGGATTGAGTTTGGGTTCGCCACAGGGAAGCCAAGAACGACTCTGTAGACCAGGAACAAATCGCTCTGGAGGTGCAGGGTTGAAGGGACAGATGCCACACACCGGGAAGTGCAGAGCAGGCTCTTGGGATCCTCAGGTGGGTAGTGCCAAGTGTGAAATGGATCAGCAGCTGGGAAGTGGGGAGGAAGCTGCTATGTGAGAGCCCCCCTCTGGCACTGGTGGGCTGCGGCAGTGAGAGACTCCTTGGGTTTGGTGTGGCGGCGTGTCCATACGGGGGGATTGGAAGGCAGGGTCCAGAAGTCTTCCTGGCCAGCTCCTTCGTGTGCCTGGCTTAGATCCGGAGGTGGGGTTCACATCTCTGCTCTCGCCCGCCCCTTCCCTGCTGTTCCCACTGGAGCCCACTCTCCTTCCTCTCCCCTGACCACCTTGTCGAAATGCTTCTCAGAGCACCATTTCATACCAGGCGCTTCCTGCTCCAGAGCAACTCAGAGAATCCGTGGTTCTCTGAACAGAAGCCGAGGGCCTGGGGACTCCCTTCAACCAAGCACTTGCTCAGACCCTCAGTGTCAGGGCGCCTGGTCTGTCTTGATTTTACCCCCTTTACTGCACCTCATCTATCGATTGTATTTCAAGCAAGGCTCTGCTGGGGCCTCTAGTCCTAGACACTGAGCATGTCCAAGATGAAGCAAGAGGCTGCCAGTTCTCAGCTGAATGTTTGAAATCAAGCATCACAGCTTTGCTCACACATTCGTAGCTACTAGTGTCAGCTTAATCTGCCAGGATTTTTTTTTTAAATGGTAGTGGTAAAATTGTCAAAGTGGAAAGAAATATACTTCTAACCCCAGTTGACAGATTTCATACTTGTGAAATTTAAAGGGGAAGGGAGTTTACTCACAGCAGTCCTATCGCTAGAATGTTGAACAATGAGATCAGAAGGGGAGCGTTGTCCAAAGAGCTGGACCGGGAGATCAACTTTCCCTTTTGAAGTAAAAGTTCCCAGTGAAAGAAAATAACTTCCCTGAATTTTATCCTCCATTAAATCATGATACAGTGTTGAGAAGACGCAGTGAGGTGACAAGCATGTCAGACATCAGGATATATCCTGGAAATAAAGGATTGTAGAAATGACGCCTTCTTGTTCACATCATAAAGCACAAGAGAAGTCCCCGAAGAGGGAACCGAGATTGTTCCAGGGAGTAGTTTATACACACATCTTAAGTATTTCCCACCGCTCAGGAGAAGCCCAGTTGGGTCGGGCATTAGACCTTGTGATGAAGACTTCTGCATTGTTTGTTGAAGTTCCTGGGTTCGGCCCCTGCTGGCTCCGGACAGCTTCTCACTAATGCCAACGCTGGGAGACAGCTGGTGGTGCAAGCCCCTGGGTTCCTAACCCTGTGTGGGAAATTGAGGCTGAATTCCCAGCTGGGTCACTGCCTGTGTGGGGTGTGTACCTGCTGTAGATGGGAGATCTGTCTCTCTCTCCTGCCTCTCAAATATTGTTTTTAAAAAGGGAGATATATCCTATTTCTGCTCTATAGGTATAAGTAAATGTTCTTGCAGAAAAAAAAATACTAAAAATATGAGGAGTCTTCAAAGAGTTCATGAAAAATGCTACTTACCACAAACATATGCATGGATTTCAAAAATGTTGGCACCAACATCGTATCCTTTCATTCATTTTTTTTTGTGTGTGTGAGTTCTTTGAAGTCCCTTTGAAAGGGAAAACTTAAGGAAAAAACT